CACACCTGTGCTTTTCCTACTGTGCCATGTCAAGATATGTTGTGTGAAAAAAGGCCCATTTGGAACCAGGATACTGACTGGATTCAGGATAAAAGTTTATTCCTACAACACCAACAATTTTAGGGTCTTTGTACTTATTATTATTATACAATTTCTTTTAGATTCAATTTTAAAGTTTTGCTGAGTTCAAACAAGACTTTACATGGCTGCCAGAATATATCAATAAAGTTTAAACTCTCTAATATCCCTAAAGGCCTCTTATATTCTCCAGTTTTGTCCTTTCAGCTATTCCAGAACTGAGGTTAAAAATCAAGGGGTTGATTAAGCTTTTGGCTGACTGAACTGAAGACTTTGCTTTGGTGCAGCCTTCCATTTAGGATTCAGTCTGCTGACACTGTCTCTTTTTAAATCCTACATCAAAACACATTTCTGACAGTTGTTTTGTTGTTTGCGTAATAGTTTTTTGTCATGCTACCATCAGACCTATTATTACTATTTTGGCATAACCCTTTATATTTTTTATGTCATGTGTGTCATTTTATGATTATATTCTGCTAATTATCTTTTATATAGATCTGTTCAATAGTGTTGTACCTCAAAATTGCAGTTTTTACTCCTTTTATATAAGTGCCTTGTAACATGAAAGACAGAAGGCGAGGAAAACAGAAAAGTAAATGGGGGCAGTAACCATATTTGATAGTCATGTGGACAGAGAGACAGAGTGAGACAGACCTGCATGTTCCTGAGGAGCTGGAAGATCTCCATGGTCCTGAGGACAATGTCTTGGACCGTCTCCTGGCCTATGCGACACAGCGAGGCAGTGTTGACATCACGCGCCGCCTGGGCCTGCTGCTGTTGTTGCTGCGGCGGTGGCTGCCCGCCAAAAGGCGACACAAGCGGAGGGGTTGTCATGGAGACTGAAGGTGAAGATGATGGGAGGAGAAGGTCGAGGTCCAGGTGAAGTTACCTTTCAGGCTATTCCACACCAGCACACCCTTACATGCCTTGATGAAGTGTTTGACAGCAATGGGAGAGGAAAATGTGAAGTAAAATCAAGATGAAGAGCAAGAAAGTAGTCTTGAATACTACACTTGGGATGCACCTGACAATTATATCCATTATCGATAATCTGCCAATTTTTTTTTTTTGATTAATCCATTAGTTCTTTGGTCTGTCAAGCATCAGAAAACAGTTAAAAATGAACATAATCATTTCCCAGAGCCCAATGTGATGTCTTCAAATAGCTTTTTGTATTTGAATCTTCACACTGGAGAAGCTGACTAATTGATTCAGCTCTCCTGCATATGCTCAATGAGGAGTGCCCTAAAATAAAACGGTATTCACATTAACGTATAAGGATACTGGCATAACATCGGCCATTGCTCATCAATCAGCTACTGTTCTATTATTAATAAAGTACAATAGCCTTTATTTAACATCCAGGAAATAGTGGGGATCTTTATAATCTTTACATCTGTCACAAATTAACTAATATAAATGTCAAGCTAAAGGAGGTTCACTGATAAAGTCAATGTGCTAATGCTTTAGCCTTTAATGTATGTTGTATGCCGGGGTTTCAGAAACAAGTAAACGTGTCTTTACATCAGGACAGGTCTGTTAGGTGCTACCCTGGACTTCAAACACCCCACCCCAAACCATTCAGTCAAGTGACGGACTAATTAGCCGACGTGTAAAAGTGGAGTGGTTGTCACCAAAGCTAAGTGGGCAGTCACACCACACGACACTTCAGCTTTCTCTCCGTTCATTTTTCTGTGTCCTTTGATTATTCCGGCACCACGTGGAAGTTAACACCGCAGTGATTCTTCATATCTATTTAATATCACATTAGACAGCATGTAAAGTTACCTGTGTGGTGATAATTTATCTGTTTTGTTGACATGTCAAGTCCCCTGCTCTGCTCCCTGGATCTCAGCTGCAACTATCGCGAGAGTTGGTCTTGTGCTCCGCGACTCGCGGCGGTAAATAATGAAGTAGAGGCGCCGCTTGAAAATATTTTTTTCCGTTATTCGATACGATTTTTACCGGACGAAGATATTATAATATTCACGAACTGAAATGTCACATCCGTTAATGTCAACTTTAACCTATTTTCACCTTTTAAACTGACTCGCTCACTCCAAATGTTTCGAAATGAATGACAACATTACGGTAAAAAAAAAAAAAAAAAGGCGCACTACAAAATAGTTCCGGCTACTAAGGGTTGCAGCGCCATGCACTGGTCTACTCTTATTTAACAGCCAACTCACACATCTTACTTAATCAGCCCTCGGGCCAATTTACGCCACTTGATTGCTTCTCATGGGTCATTATAACTTTTTTAGTAAGCATAATTCAAATTCATCCCGTAACTGGGTGTGTTGTCTACTCTGTATTAAATGAAATCCCTCAATGTATCCACCCATCCTTTACTTACACTGCACAGCTGTGCTTGGATTATTTTGTGAGCCATCAGAATTCAAATTAATTTGAAATGCAAGAGGTGTCAGAAATAGACAGTGGGCTATACAAGGCTGCTTTTTTCAGCATGAGCTCTGCCATGCAGCAGAATTACTGCTCTGACTTACAGAGGCTGGAAATAAGAGCTTTATTGAAAAAGGAAAGGCTCTGCCTTCAGGCTTGAGTGGGGCTGAAAAAGTAGATTAGGATGCCTATTACTTAATTTACATGATTCATTCAAATTTAGGGGTTACAGGCTGGATTTCAATTTCCTTTTATCTGGAACACATTTTGTGTAATAATAACCTGAAGTCATTTCTTTTCACTTATTCTCTTTCCCTTAAAAAAAACACCTTATCTGCAACATGCAACACTGATATGAAAAACAAGTTCACTTGACTGCCCACAACTTCTTAATTGCAGAAGGAGCGCTGGTTAGCTTGCCAGGATGAATGAGTGTTACTCTTACAATCCCCATCTGCTGTGCCGGCAGACCAATTGAGGCATGCCATTTGGAAATGAGTTTCTCCATAATCATCCAGCCTGTCTTCTTGGTGTGTTTAATTGGGACGAGGGAGTAGTGATGGTGAGTGGGTGGAGGCAGGTAGTGAGATGAATATGCTTCCCCTGCCCTGTTGCTGAATTATACATTTGACATTATAAGAAATAATTTTGAAAATAATTACCTTCATTCACATATCCATGGAAAAGGTTGGAAAATGCAAATGCGGCGTGTGGATATGTGCAGGATTCTTTTGTGTGTGTGTGTGTGTGTGTTTGTGTTTATCATGGGGGCAGGGCTGCCCAGCTGTCTAGAGGCCCTTACCTACTTGAGAGCCCATCTATCATCACTGATCAAAGTGAACAGAGAAACAAGAGATTGTATTGATCACATCAAGGCAAGCTGATGGAAAATGCATTGATTTTAAATGGATTGTCATGTTAATGTAATCGAACCATATTGAGACAAAACATTATTGTAAAAATCAAAGACCCTCATTGATTATAAGGCGGTGTAAACAGAAATCTTATCATTTTGACTGCACAATTTGCAGCAGGATGATGATTCAAATTAAATATTGCAAAAATAGGCCATGGAGTATCGCATTACCTGTGTGTCTCATGCAGCATACTGTGTGTCCTGTGCTGCTGCATTTAATTGAGGCCTCTGGCATAAAATACATCGGGAAACACAGATTACCTTGAAACTGACATCAGGTTCAAAGTACTGCATCATCCCATCAGAGCTGCAGGGGCTTGAACCTTGAACATGAGGGGGATGGTGGTGGTGGTGGTGGTGGTGGTTGATGGAGTGGCAGTGAATGGAGAAATAGGAGCAGAGAGGAAAACCATGAGTTGGAGAGGGAGCAAAAGGTAACAAAAAAAAAAACGGAAAGGGAGACAGACAGAACACCCCTTGTGAGGAAACACAAACCGTGTAATGATTATTAGCTGAGGGGGTATCAGGCCTAAAACGGATTATCTAGCCACCTAGTGCATTACTCATGCTTTAATTAAATATGCACTGATCTGGTCCCTGAAGGGCTAAGTTCAGATGGAGAGAGAGGGGAGTACAATGGTCTGCTATGAAAGCAGCAGCATGTAAAGTCCATTCAACCACTCACAGCCAATTTCCCATCAGAGGGTCTCTCGACTCAACAATGAGATTAGCAGAGGTGAAGGTATGGGACACAGAAGTACAGTGTATAGGTGGGGGTGTAGGCATATGGGTGGGTGCTCAAACCTACAGAGCTATTTTAAATTCTAGTGGAGATCCTAATGTTCCAAAAGAAACAAATTAAGGTGGTGAGTTTGAAAAGTTCTACTCACTTTCACTTCAATAAAGTGTTGGACCAAGCTAAAATAGATATTATATATGTACAGTACCAGTCAAAACTTTTGGGGAAAGTATGTCCAAACTTTTGACTGGTACTGTATATGTGATACTGTCAGACTTGGCCTGGAATAATATTCTTTCAAAAACTTTTAAGCTGCTTAAACCAAAGGGGGAAATTATGTTAAGGGGTTTTAAACAAAAGCTGAAATTTGTTCAAGTAGTTCAAACCTGTAATGTGCAGTAAGGTATGATTACAAATGTAGATATTTTCAAAATAAAAGTCTTACAGTAGAGTAAGACGGCACCAGCCAGCTATTTGTCAGCTGTTATTAATGATGCCCTTGACCGTGCGCTCCTGTAGCTCTGGACACCCATGGCCCTCACTGCAGGAAACAGCAGAGCAGAGGAAGGTCAAACTCAAACGAGCCGTAAACACTTCAGTGTCAGTAACAGTGTCAGTGGCCCCTGGTATCCGCAAACTGGCTCAAGGTCAAGGTTGAGGGGGGGGGGCAGTTAACAGGGATCAACATGCTCCTGAAGACAATGGATCCATTTCTACGCTTGTTGCCCAGCAACAGAGCTGTGCGGGCAGTACGGGGTTAAACGGATACAGTGCTTTGTCACAAAGGATTTTATGACATTGTAAATCAGACTTTGAAAGCAACACTCCTAAGACAAGGTATTTGAAAAAAAAAAAAAGGAATATTTTATTGAATAATTCATTTCGGCTTACACCTTACCACTGCACAAAGGCAGTGGAAAGGTGTCTTGATCATGTATTTAAATATAAATGATGCTCTCCACATACAGTACTTTGCTGGTTGCTGGTGTAATAGTCCATGCATAGAAATACTCATTGGTCTACATTCACATGTATCAGACTTTGTGCAAAAAGATGTGGCCTAATCCAGCATCTTGAGCTGATACAGTAGGTTGATGCTCAATCAAACAATACTTTAGCACCGCGTCCTGGATGTTTCACATAAGTCTGAAGGTAAACAAACAGTTAAGATGCACGTTTAGAAATACGAACAGATGTTTAAATTAGCAGTTACTCAAACTAATTCATTCCTATTTTAATATGAAAACACTTAAAAAAAAAAAAAAAAAAAAAAGCAAAGACAGCTCATGAACATTAAAGTTTTAAACAGGTTAAAACTTCACACAGGAGCGAGCTGAGTAAAAGAGTTACACCCCTAGGAATCATTTACATCCTGAGCCTTTCTATATTTAATTATCAACATTTCTTTGGGAATGTCAATGCAAAGGCACTTAAAGGCACAGTGATGTGACTTTGGCATTAATGTCACAGTAAAACATAAGACCTCAGGGTCCAGTGAGCAGTGCAGAATAACTAAATGCCGTCATCACCACGAGTTACAGCAGCTAAAATCATTGCTTGGCTTTGTTCTGCTGTGCTCAGACGATGACTCAGGCAGGTCCCTACATCTTGGGGTCCTCACACAGTGTGCATCCGGGCTTCAGGTCGGCCTGTCTCTCCATTTGAATGGTGATAGAGTGGAAGTTATAGGAGGAGAAACAACTCTGTGTCATTTCTCTTAGGATCGTCTGAGCATCCACTGACTCATCTGTGAAGAATAAGGGAAAACAAAGGAAATAGCAACAAAAAAAATTGTTAAGTTGTCTTGCGTGGAGACTTTACTTTGAGACATTTTAAGAGTTTATCAATGTATTTGTCAATAGTCATAACTGGTCCTATAATGGCATATCACTGTGTTTTACTATGTTGTCATTCAGTATCCGCTTGTGCAGCCTCAGGTGGGGGTGTCCTCAGGAGGAGTTATAATTGACAAGAAGATTCTAAAGTAAATCATTTCTTAAAATGTTGGCTGAAATAAATGGAAGTTAACTGTCATTATTAGAGTGTATATAAAAAAATTAAATGTGGGTGATGCCAGAGGAATGGCTGTGCTGTGTTGCGTTACGTAAACATAACTAAACTGTGCTTCATCTTCAGCTGTACTTTGTCAGCGTCAGCTGTCAAGACTCACGTTTTGAGCTGAATGTTAGCTGGCTAATGCAGTGAAATGGCAGTTAGTATAACACAGATTTAAACACTATTTTTGAAAATGCAGTAGCAAATCATTGACTATTTATGTACACATCCAGCAGACACAGAGCAGCATTAGCTTTTTTGTGTGTGTGTATTTTAACATATTCCAAACTGAGAGAATGTGTGTCAAAAAATCTCTTTCAAGTTCATCTTAATGCTAAAAATCTGTTTGTTTTAGTAAAAACAAAGTTGATGTAGCCACTCACTGCGTTTTGGCCAACTCATCCATGACTCTAAGTTACAAGTGGCACCAATTTAAAAAAAGTAAAATGTGATTTAGATAATGCACAGACAGCTCATAGTTACACAAGACTCTTCTCACCTATGGCTACGTGTGCGGTCAGCACAGCCTGGTTCATGGTGAGGGCCCAGATGTGAAGGTTGTGGACCGCTGTGACCCCCTTCACTGCCAGCAGACCACCCCGCACCTCGCTGTACTTCACCCCTGACGGAGTGCCTGAGTCATAGATGGAAAAGACAACGAGACAAATAGTAAGTATAAGACTGAGGAAATGAATATGGAGTCAGAGAGCAGAAAACTGAGAAATCCTCCACTAAGCACAAATATATTGACATTAGGTGATTTTCCATCCACCTGTTTTTATGCGCATATTCAATTTGCTCAAAACATAAAAGCTGTAAAAAAATTTTTTTAAAAATTCAAAATTTGGCAAAAATATTTTTATGCTTTGCTGAGTTGGAAAAGTTGGCGCATTGATAAAAGCTAAATGCAACAGACTTAGAAAATAAATAAATAAATAAATGACGTCCATTGAGGAGACAAAAAAGAGGAGGAGCAAGTGAGGAGCGATGTGGGCACTGTACTTTTTCCTCATTAATACATGAAAACAACAAAAAAAAAAAAGGCCACATTTCCATCATGTTTTATACATCGCTTTCCTCATTTCACGTTTGCTGACGTCGACGACTTCTTCTTCATTTGCATTGTCTTCCGCTGACTTTCTCAACTCAGTTAAAAGAAACCACGTTCTTGTTTCGGAGCGTCGGCTTCGGAACGATGAACTCACCTTCCATCAGGACGACAAGGATGTCTCTCATGATGGTGAAGGTGGTGCACAGGACAAGTATGGAGAACAGGAAGGTGCAGATGGGGTCAGCTATCTTATATTCTGGCTGAAAAACAAAAACATAACGCAGAAAATGAGGGTTACATATTAACATCTGCGTGAAAATAATGTGATTGCTTTTGGTCCATAACCTGAGAACACTCTTTCTGGTGTTAAGAAAAGTTCAAGTTTGGAGGATAGAGCTCAGTATTTTATCTCTTTTTTAAAATCAGTAATGGTTACTCAGAGGAAAGGGACATGGGACAGCAGCAGTGAATTCAGTACTTCTTATGCACTGTAAGAAAAGCTCATAATTCTGCAGAAATGGCTGTCCTGGGAGAGGATGTGCAGCACAATGAAATTACAGAGCAGGCAGACACACACCAAAAAACAAAAGAGCATATGGACAGAAAATACAGCTCCATTCTTTCCTTCTTGCAAACAGCCACAGCCTTGTGCTGTTCGACAATTCCTCCAGGGTGAGTTTGTTTTTAGTACCAAATATACCAAGTGCTGGAAGCTAAAAATAATACAGGAATTAATAAATGAGAGCTACTGCACTAGATGCTGCAGTACCCTAACACTAACAGTCGCTAGGTTAAAAACAAAACTAAATCAACATAACACTTATTAATCAAAAGAGAATGTGTTGTTGTTCTTCTGGTTTTCTTAGTTTTATTATTTTTTATTACAAATCACAAATTACCTGTCCTGACCATCAGCTACATTATCCAGATATTTATTATATAAACAGACTTTAATACACTTAATATATTTTCTGTCTATTAAATTGAAAGAGTGCATTGCAAAGATAGTAATTAATTTGGTAATTTTTCATCTCTGTATGTAAAGACAATATGTGCAAATGGACTAATGCAAAAAAAAAAAAAAAGTATATTTCCTGGGTTACTTATTATTCAATTGGGGAAAAAATGCAATATAACAGTAGCCAAGAGCAACAAGAAATTAAATTTTATTTTCAATTGAATGATTTGATTATTTTGCTGAAACACACCAACTGAGCACATTAGTGAATGTTCAAGTCATTTCTAAAATATTCTTCATTCTAAACTATTTTCAACAAGTAAACAGATGTCTTATAGTTTCTTGTCTTGACTTTTGATGCGTTTCACACCTACTCTCTACACCTCACTGCCCCTCATGGGGTTGTTTCAATTTCTCAAGACTTTTCACCCTGTGTGCTCGCACACAGAGGCCCGATTCCAATCCAGTCTCTACACACTCCCACTCAGAGACGGAGTGTAACTCCGCGTGGAGTCACACTCGCGGCTGTGGAGTGTCTCTTCATTAAGGGGGAGAGAATAATTACAACGGCAAGCTTTCTCTGATCGAAACAGGAAATTCATTGTTACCCAAAATATTTCAGAAAGATATTGTGATTAAATCAATATTTATCTAAAACATAATCGTATACACCGCACTGACAAAGATGTAGGTGTGTGGGCAATGACATGGCCCTCATCACATTCATGGCATAATGAGCTTGTGAAAGGAAACTCATCAATTGAATACTAAATAAAAATTCACACCCATGCTTCTTTGGCTGCATTTCGTTTTTGCCGAACATGTTTTCATTTGCCATCTTAATCTAATTATATCCTTTTTTTTCCCCACAGATTAATTTTCAAATATCAAGTCAAATAAAAAAATAAAAATAAAAAAAAGAACACGTCCCGTTTTCTCGGGTACATTCATTCATTCCAAAATATGATGTAACTTCTAATTGCGTCATGTGGATGTGAAAATAGTCAAATGTCTGTTTGAGGAAATTTATGACTTCTCCTTTGGAAATAAACACACGGGACTCAGATTAGTAGGTAATATGGCATTTCATCCATCCCGGACTCAAAACGACGCTGCACAGTGTGCTTTGTAAGTCTGCGTCGATGCAGACTCGGTGTTGGAGGGATTTCTAACCCACTCCCACTCAAGGATCATTAGTTCGGAACAACACTCAATGTGGCGGAGCCTTCACACGAAAGCGCAAACAGAGTGAGAGCGGGTAGGGGGAGTGTGTGTGTGTGTGTAGGGGCCGGGTTGGACTTGGGCCAGAGACTCATTACCTTGAAGAAGATAATGATGGCGCTGACAAGCACGCTGAGGCTCTGGAGAAGATCTCCCACCACATGGACGAAGGCCGCTCGCACACTGGCATTGGCCTGCTGAGCCCTCCGTCCTGACAGGAAAAATAACAGGGTAGTAAAGCTAATTATACACTGGATTATAATTCATTATATATTCCATTATAATGTCATTATGATGGATTGTAATGACCCCACAGCACATATTCAGTCAAAGTACAGAACAGTGCGCTAAGGGGGAGGGGGGGGGGGGTTTGAGCAGTTTCATAGTTTCATGGCCGACAGTGATGATATTAGAGGAGAAAGTAAAGTGACAAAATAATGACTCAGACTAGAAACACACCGTGGTCTGGCCCGTTCTGCTCCACGTCCACGCGGTCATCATTCGAGTGAGCGTGGTTCGAGATCTGATCGTGTCCTTTTTTTTTCTTGCCACCGTGGCTGTGACCGTGCGAGCTGAGCCCGCCGTGGCTGTGGCCGTGGCCGGACTGGTGAAGGGTGAGGGCCATGCTGTCGAGAGAGGAAACAAAAAGAATGAAACTACTGAGCTCTGACAACGTACTACAACATCTTGAAGAGACCGTGAAGCTGGATTCAGTATTGCCCTCCTCTGTGCGTTGGCTTTAATTGAATCATAAATATTCAAAGACCCACTGTGCACTGGTAAAAGCCGTATAAATGAGAAATGAGTGTGTATTCTACTTACATAATATTGGCCAGCACAGCACAACCGGAGGTAATGAGCATGATGGTGCCCTCGATCTCGTAGTCATCGCTGATGAGGCGCTCCACAGCCAGGTAAACCAACACTCCTGTTACCAGCCAGATGGTGAAAACCGACAGCAGCGCACCCAGGATCTCTGCATGGGTGAAGAGCCGAGGAGAGAAATTAACCTGTGGTCAATCACTCGCCTGGAAGCTGCTCTAGGTAACAGAACTGAAGCAACTGAAGCAACTGAAAATGGCCTTAAATTCAATACACAGTTAAACATTACTACACACACACAGAATTCAAGTGTAGAGGTAGTGTAATTATTGGTTCAACACTTCTCATCATCACACTAAACTAAGATTTCACAGATGTTCTGGAAAACTTGCGGCAGATTAGGCATCATTCTTCTGTACAGAGAGCAGTGAAATTAGCACTGGAGGTCTGCAGTCTTCTCTAGTCTGACATTACATAACCCGTCCCAAAAAAAAATCTCATTGTGCATCAGCTAACACACATGACTTTCAGTGGTTTTGTAGCCAAAAAAGGATAAATTCCAAAGTAATACAGACAAGAGTGAACATGTCTTATCTTTCCCACTGGTTGACCCTGTATTAAAAAAAAAAAAAAAACTCCAACAAATGTCATCCTATTTGGTTTGAATATAAATAAGTATTCAAATAACTATCTCTTTAAAGTCGTTCTGATTCAGTAACAGCCTTCAATCTCGTAAAACATGTAGATATGGAAAGTAAAAACATACATCTTAAAGCAATAGTTCAACATTTGGGAAATATGTTTATTTGCTTTACTTCTGCCAGCTATGAAATGGTTTGGCACGTGATGGTCAGCTATAAAAACGACAAAATTGTTGTTTTTACACTTCGGTTTTTGAACAAATGAAACGAAGACAAGATATCACATGTTGATAAGTGAACTTTAAAGATGCTGGCAGGGGGATTATATTACCTTTACACACAGCCAGGCTAACTGCCTCAATACAATCCTGCATCAGTCTATCCATATTAACACACATCCAGCAACAATCACTAAACTAAACCACACTAAAAAACCCCGTGATGTTGGTGAGTTCAGAATCACAGGAAAAAATGTTTCAAGTGCAGCCACTGACTGATATATAAATATCGTCAATAGTGTACCTGCACGGTGCCAGCCATAGCTGAGCCTGTGTGTGGCAGGTCTGGAGGAGAGCCAAAGGGATAACAGGCTGATGATGAAGCTGGTGAAGTCCACCAGCAGGTGGGCAGCGTCTGTCATCACGGCAAGACTGCCTGCAAAATACCCACCTGCAGAAACAGACAGACAGCGCTGTTATTTAAATATTATATCACTTTGTTTTTAAAAAAAGAAAGAAAATTCAACTGTGAAAAAAATAAGTGATTAAGACAGATTGGGAAAAAGTGTAAAAGAAGTGAAGGCTGGAGAGAAGTGGTGACTGTGCAAAGGGAAGGAAGAGGAGAGGAAAACATACAAAAGAAAAGGAAGTGGAGGGTGAAAGAAAGAGGAGAGAAGCAGAAGTGAAAGAAGACAAAAATAGAAGAAGAAGGGTCAGGAGGAATGGGAGTGACTCAGCAGATAAATGATAAACTATAACTAAGTATCTGATTAACCATCAACTAGTCAATAAAGTATCAGCTAATGATCGGGTGTTACAGACTGAACAGGTCAGTGATCTCGTGATGGAAAATGTACTGGGAATGAAAATATGAAAAAGAAAACAGGAGCCACAGAGAGGAAAAAAAACAAGGATTAGAGGAGCAAAAATAAAGAATAAAAAAAAAGAATGACTCACCAAGGATTTCACCAATCATGAAAATCAGGCAGACAACAGAGACCACATACAGCCTCTTCCTGGCAACTTTCTTCTCTCGCTCGCGATCCTCCTGAGCACGGCTGTTGTCATGGCAATGTTTGATGCCGCCGATACCGTCGTTCTGTAATGCCTCCTGGTTGCTGCATCAACATTAAAATCAGAATAGAGTCAGTGAAGCAACAGATAACAGCATGTAGTTGACCTTTATTTTATTTTTTATTATGCTTTCTAGAACTGACTCATTACAGATTTCTTTAGTGCCTCACAGAATTATTTTGTTATCATTTAACCTCAGTTATTTATTTTTGCTCTATTGATTAACTGTTAAGCTTTGACCTATTGAGAAAGGTTTTAAAAAATTTGTTTATAAATCAGGAGTTGTCATCTAATTGCTTTTTTTTGTGTCCAACCAACGATCCAAAATCCAGAGATGTTCAAATAACAGTGTCAATCTCCCTGCTTCCAGAAAGAGCACAGGATGAATTGCCTGATATTTGAAAAACAAAAACAAACTGAAAGGGTAGATTGTAACATTTAATTCTAAATCACTGTTGTTTAGAAGTCACCGAGGAGCTATTCAATTTTTTAAGTGTCAGTTTCGATGCTCATGCAGCTCTCTGATCATGTCTGTAATATTCACCCACATGACCAACAAGAAACCAGCGTCATGATCTGATGAACAGCTGAACACAACCTCCAGGAAGAAGCAGCAACAGGCAACAGAAGATGGTCTAAGTCACTGTTGTCCCCTCAGCAGGATACTAATAGTTGCACAAATACCAGTATTTCAGCTGAGGGTCAAGTCTCTCTACAGGAACATTTCCACTTAGCATGTAAAGTAAATATCAGCAAATACAATGAATCAGTCAATTGAGCAACACAGAGAGAGTTTGGCTGTTGTGTTTATTCTAAGAAATTGCTTAATTATTAATAAAACATAAGAAAAAATAGGTCACAATGTTTCTCCCCCTGTGCACACCTCCCTGTGTTTTTAACTGTGACGTTTCCAATCAGGGAATGACCGGACATACTGCGCAGTAAACACAAGTCAAATGAGCAGGAAGGATGAACTGCTGCACGTTTGCGCACTGCTAATCCGGGCTGACCCCAGATCAGTCCCGTGTGGAAACCCAGCGTTTCGCAAACAAGGGAACGTGAGCAAAGACGCTGCCCACAGCACAACCACCATAAGTGAGACAGATTTATTTTTCACAACGGATAGAAAAAAGTTTGGATAACTCTTTATCCGACTGGTGTCTCACAGAAACTCACAGAATATTTTAAAAGGATTATAACTTGTATGAGAAAGACTTAATTAACATGATGTGGACACATTCACGTGTTCTCTCATTTCCAGTTTGACTTAGTATTTTTGGGAAATGTAAGAAATAAAGGTTTACCTTGCCACAGCGGTGTAAGTGTTCCTCCCATCTGTCACCAGGGGAACTCTCTCTGCATTGTTCTTTTTGAACATGATTCACGTCTTGGAAAATATGAGATGTAAAGAAAAAAAATACCCAAACTAAAACAAACAAACAAACAAAAAAAAATCTAAATCTAATTAAACGTATGGGCTAAGTAATTTTTGAGAAAGTTAATCTAAACTTTTTCTCGTTATGATCTTTCGTAGGCCTCGTTGTCTGCTTTTGAGAAGTGTTTTAACAGCCGCTGAACATCCTCTCAGACCATCCAGGTTGTGAACAGCTAAATATCTGATGCAGCCTTGTGACTAACATGGTTCGCACCGTGTGCAAACGCTCGGCCGCCTGCAGCAGCTCAGAGCTGGGTGATGAGAGGGACGGTTCCAAATTTTTGGTGAGAGGCTAAAACTTTAAAGGACAAATATCTTAACAAAAGGCTGGTGAGAAAAGCACCTGTCAGGCCCACAGACAGATAGGTCATTTCATCTCCCACGTGAATTTAGACCCCCCTCACAGGCCTATAGGTTAAACTTACATTTACATGAGTAATTAGTTGAATGAGTCCGCACTGCGCGTCAAAAAATCGGCGCGAGCGTGGCATTTTCTTAGTCAGCCACGCAAACCACCAAGCCCACTCGGGACCCGCCCACCTCTTTTGACCAGACGGCACTTTGTGGTTATACAACCAAACATAGTGCCGTGCGCTCCTTCCCCTAGTATAATCACATTGGCATGAATTTCTTAATCTATCCATGCTTGGTTCAATGACCACCTCCTGTAAATCAATTGTCATCCCTGAACCGAAAGCTGATTTAGTCGATCGCTGATTTTTTTCTTCACTCATGGATTCATCACGGTGACTGGGAATAGCAACTCTTCCTGGCAACAACTTCAGCTCTCTGCATTGAAAACAATTGTAATGGGGGGGGAAAAAAGTCTTAAATCATAAGAGATATCCCATCAAGTGTATACGTGCTAAAATACACGTGGAGTAGGTTGTAAGTGATTAGGCTATAGGCAAATGAATGAATGAATGAATGAATGGTCCTGGCACAATTTGATAATCTCTGCAGCTCTCAAGTAGCCTGTGTTGCTTCAACGTTTCTTTCCAAGATTTACCACAAGGTGGCAACAATGGATCACCAACAATGTATGAGATTACATGACTGTTCTTTTATTAAGTGACACATTTACAGATCATGAGTTGTGAAAGCGTTCAGAAAAACAGTCAAGGAATGTTAAAGGTTCATAAACTGCAGCGGTAAGTGAAGGTAAAAGTTCAGCAGCAACTGATCATGAAGTTCAAGTTACTAATAAATCATATTCACGCTAAAGATACAGTTCATTCACTTGAAAGCAATTTTGACCAAATGAAAAGCTAAAACGTCACACATGTTATTCCTGTGCCAGTTAAGCCTGTATTTGGAAACATCACCCTGTCCCTAAAGCTGGAAATCAGAGAGAATCCTCAAACACAAGGGGCACTGACTTTGTTTTAGTACCAGTGGATGTGTATTTCATTCAAATTTAAAATTAAATGTCATAAGTGACAAATGAAAATGCAGAATGCAGGAATTGCATTGCTCTTTTTAATTGAACCCCTCACATTAAGAGCTGTTGAGTGCAAGTGATGAAGTTATCTTGCTAACCCCATATTCTTCAGTAGCTGTGTGGTGTACAGGTCTCATCCAGATTTTAAATTGGAAATAAACTTTTTAAGATTTGAAAGACGCATTTTGGTCTTAGACATTACACAAACTTTTTATTTTTTATATCATTATTTAGTTTCATTCATTGTTATAGAGAAAACTGGGATTTAAGGTTCTCCCTTTAGTTTCTAACTTTCTAACTCTAAGCTGTGCATGTTCACAAATATTCACCAATCTGCTCTGGGGCACAGGAATAAGAAATGTGAATTCTTAAAAGGGGTTGGGTGCTCCTTTAAATGCACAATCCATGAGTATGATATAGTGTTTCTATCCTCAAAGCTTCTGGTGCAGAAAAATAACAGACTAAAATCATATATGTTAAAGTCATCATAGAACCTAGAGGGGACTTTATTAAAATGGTCATTAAATTTGAAAATGAAAATGTCATTTTCATTTTCAAGGGGTGATAAGGGGTGATGAGTTTGTAAGCCTCCTTGACATTAGCGTACAATAAGTCCAGTGTCCTATTATCTCTGGTTTGACGTGTGAAATATTGAGTAAATGTAGGTAAAAGTGGAGAACAGGGAGGCATGATTTAAGCCTCCAGAGATGAGGAGGAGAGTCTGTGGGTGTGCAGTGTTTGCAGTTTTCATGGTGGCGTGGATGACGTCACTGGCTGTGTCGGTGTGGGTGGAGCGAGGGATGTATACTGCTATGGCGATAGATAACTTCTTCCCACCCACATCAGTGCTTTTCAGTCTCTTTGACTGCAGCATTAAGTGCATGAGACAATCACACACTAAAAAAGCTGTTTTTCTTTTATTCTACTTGAGAGTAGTGACGTTTGTTTTCTTGAAAAGGTCTAAAAGTGGAGTCAGTTTGACTAAAAATAGCTTTTCAGTGTGTCAGGTCTATTTTGGTCAATACCGTCTGTGGACTCCAGAAAGTGGGCCTGTGTTTGGTTTGCCAAAGTGTTGTGTGTGTGTGTGTGTGTGTGTGTGTGTGTGTGTGTGTGTGTGTGTGTGTGTGTGTGTGTGTGTGTGTGTGTGTGTGTGTGTGAATAGATGGAGCCGTGGGGTTGCTAGGGGCTGCAGAGTGAGGGGAAAATGGCACGAGAAGGGTTAGTTACACATGGCTGTTCACACTGTTCTTAAGATCCTGACCCCGCAACAGGCCACTCACCCGGTCCATGAGAGCTCTGCTCACACACTGTGTGTGCTTGTTTGTGTATCTTTATGTGTGTACATATGCATGCACATGCTCTGCCCTCCCTGGACCCTCTTTAAACAGACCAAACAACGGACCAGAACCATTGCAAGCCCCAGTATTTTTTAAAGATGCACAACTGTTGTAGCCATGGCAACCACCCGCCTCCTCCCCTCCTCTCCATCCTAATGATCACTGTGTGTTTGCGTCTGATAAAAAGCCCCAAAAGTGGTATACAACTCCAGGTCAGGCATCTGGACAATGCACTGACGTCAGACCTGCTCCGTCACATTCACACTCAAGTGACACCGGTTCACTTTGCCAAGGAACTGAGGGGGCAATGTTTGAGAGACAGAAAGCAAGAAAAGAGAGAGGGGGTGGGGGGGGGGGGTGTTTGGAAGAAGAGAAAGAGAGAGCGAGTTCCTTATAAGTCCTCAGAAGTGCAAGAGATCTAATAACAGAAGAGACGGAGAGACCAGACGAGGCTGTATCTGCACTACAGCTGAGTAGACGCAGCACAGAAGAGGGTCCAGAAGAAACCCAGTTAGAAAAATTTAAGAATATCACTAACCCTAACATGATGGAAGTGGTCCTAACCAGACTGCGGGACTTCTCCTGCAAGACCTCCACCTTTGATGACTGTAAACCAGCCGGGCAGACTTCATGCAGGGACCCTCGAACAAGGACTGACCACCGCAGAGAAGGGTGCACAGCTGGAGGAGAGGGCACCAAACTGGACATCGAGAGTGCACTGGCCTGGCTGCGAAGAGAACTGGTAAGACTGGGGCTTGACTTAGTGTTCATGCTACTTTATACATCTATATCACTCCATTTCAGAGGTAAATGTTGTACTTTTACAGCTGTAGTCGCTAGTCACTTTGATTTACATATAAAATATATCCAGAAAATGTTTTATTTTTTTATTTTCTTGCATACAAAAATATAAACCTTGAGTGCTCCATAATTCAAGCCTTTTAAAGAGCCATTTTGCACAATGAGTACTTTTATGTTTGTTACTTTAAAGTGGGACCATGTAACTTTTGAAATAAGTAATAACTCATTCTGTACTTTACAAATGAAACATTGAACTCATGAGTTGATAAACACACCCCTGCTCAGGTCAATACACTCAGGGACTTTGTGGCTACAGCCTGACTTGGTCTGGTATGACCAGTAGCAAGTTATTTTAGCTAATGTTAGCAGACTTTAGCTCAATACTGCTTTGAAACAAACATTAAAGAGTCAATTCACAGATCTGACAATTTTCCTTCTTGGGCTGTATTGTTTTAGCATTTCACTAACTGGACATTTTCAAAAGTAGCCACAATGGCAACTATTCAGCAAAAGTTACATTAAGTACATTTTCGTCTACCGCTGGAGATACATATAATATATTCAAATTACTCCATAGTTTAAGCATGACAACATATTTGAGCTGTCAAGCCCTCTGTGTGGTCCTCTGATAACGTTAAGATTCCAGCGAGTATAAAGGCATTTTATTGTCCATTATTCCGAAGGTCAAGACATTTGTCACCCAAATAAAATGACCTCCGGGGTCACGCTGAATGTTTTTGTGTGGGAGGCCCAAGTTATTGCCTTTTTGTTCCTAAGATGCATGTAGGGCATGTTGTTACAATGTCAAGCCCCTTTAAACCAAAGAGGCTGTGTGTGTGTGTGTGTGTGTGTGTGTGTCTGAGTCTGTATGTGTGTGTCTAGTTGCACCTCTGTGAGCAACAGTGTAAGTCTCATTGTTACGGCCTAATATATCACTCGGCATTAAGTGCATTCACCCAGACAGCTCGTCATGGTAACCGAGGAGAAACCACGCGTCTGAGCAGGAGCTGGACAAAACGCTAAAAACAGAGGCCTCCTGGTTGGTTTTTTAACAATCCTCTGTAGAGCAGCAATGAATGACAGAACCTGCATTCTACTCATGTTAAAGAACAAGTAGAATTTACTGTATTTCAACCCAGACCTTATTAAAATATTGTTTCTCATCAGTTATTATGAGCAACAGCTTCAGCTTTGGCAGACTCTGTGCTTAAACAAGCTCCTCTCAGACCTTTAAAATTCAGGATAAATGTCAAGGTCTATGTAGTGGCTGCTGCTGTTTATGACCTTGCAAACAGCAGTTGACAAAATGACCTCACCTCATAGCTGTCCTGGGGCTTTTGATCATATCACATGATCTTCAGCTGCAGAAAGAGAGAAATGTAAATGTTCAAATTTCCATTTTTTTTTTATAATGAGCATTAAACCAAAGATTAAACTACACAAACATATAATTCTTAATTATATGTATTTAGTTATATTATTTACTTACTTATCTTATATCCTGGATAAATTTGTGCTAATCTCATGTACAACCACAGCTGAGATTAAAGTATCACTTCTTGTGATGAGTAAACAAAAAAGTGGTGGAGTGCCCCTTTAAAGGCCTGAACGATTGACCAGTTTGACTGTGGTGCAATAACATAATTTCCATCATGAAGTCTGATTCACAACCTCATCTCTGTGATGAATGCAGAGTAGAACTGTTGATTATCCGGCGTAAAAGTATTTGTTATTTTTCAGAGTCGCATCCAACAGACACCTTCTATGTAAAAATACAAAACCATTATTTCCACTTCACGCTGACCAATGGTGAGCCTGCTGAAGTTTGTGTCACCGCCAATCAAATCTCAGTGTGATCTGTTCATGTGTTCCTATAGGGAAAGATAACAGGACTTTTTATAAGAGCAAGTACAATGGCTACCTCTTGATTTAGACTAGTGGTTTCAGTGGAACCGCAAAAGAAAAAAGGCGCATGCAGATGCAGATACACACATTCACACTATCTGAAAAGGGCTGGAGTTTGGCATAAGGAGCTGGAGCCTGCGGCATGCTCACATCTCCAAATCCCTCAAAGGAAAAGTCCATGTTTAGTCTCTCATTCCTCCAAGTGTTGACAAAGGCGGTAAAAACCAGTATCTTTCAATCGGAGCCCAGTCTCAGCCTGGTGCTGTAATTAAGAGAGAAAAGAAATGCAGATCGGAGCAGAAGGTTTTTTTGTCTGAGACATTCCTCACTCGTTAGGACAAACTTGGACTCTGAAGTTGGTGGAATTCTGAATATCTTATTTTACAATGCCAGCAATTAGACAGCCTCCCATAAGAAAGGGAAGAAAGAGAACAGCGGAGAGATGCATTTGCATTTGAAAGAAGGCAACGCTCAAATGAAATGGCTTCGCACTGAGCACGAACCTGTTCAGCTTGAAAAGGTAAGAAACTCAAGTTCAGTTTGAGTTTCTCATTTCTATCCCTCACCATATCATATTTGGTCCTGCCTGTGAGTTTTGTCTCTATCAATTAGGTAATATATCTGTGGTGTATAAAAATCTAAACTAAACAGATGTGTTCTCTCTGTGCAGATGGAAATGCGTTCCCAGGACCAAGCACTGATCCGACAGCTGATGGAGCTTCACTCCGGCATCCAGGAGCTCAAGCAGGAGTTGTCTGAGGAGGAGCAAGAGGAGGAAACAGATGAGGAGGAAGAAGAGGGCAGCTACTGGGACTCTGAGAGCGAACAAGGAAGCGGCAGCGTCTACTCCAGCTCAGGGGAGGCGGGCTTTTCCATTTCCTACCTGAAGATGTCTCCGCCCCTTCGTTCAGGGGTTTCATCGAAGAAAGCGTTCAGCAGGAGAAGCTCTGTGCCTTGAAAAATTCAAACTATTACAAGAAATTCCAACTTTTGAAGTCTCTCCTCAACTTCCGTTTATCCTCTGAGACAGTCAACAGAGACAAGGTGGAGCAATTTCCCACCATAATTTCTCTGCCCCCCTCTGAATTCTTTTATTTTATGATTTTTGCTTTGAGAGAAACCAAACAAGAGGATGAAGTGGAGTTAAGGAAAGAATCAGCAGTGGTGTCATGTCGGCTTATCATTGCCTCACTATGTTGATGCAGAAGTAATGTTCATTTAAATCCTCACACTAATTACAATATGTCATTCTAATGGCTTCATTAGTTTACAGCCTTTTTTTGTGATTTCTATTTTTTTTAACAAAAATATATGACACTGTAGATGAATACATTTGCTAAATCTGACAGGCTGCTCAGAAGGATTTAAAGGAACTGTTCGACATTTGTGGAAATACATTTATTCACTTTCTTGTTGAGAGTTAGTCACATCCAGCTGTCGGCTGGCTTCGTTTTGCATAAAGACTGGAAACAGGGAGACAGTTAGCTTGACTCTGTGCGAAGGTTTTGAGTTTTTATTTTTGTACGGATTAAATAAATGCGATATAATCTGTTAAATTGTGAGATTTAGCATTGTTGGTTGGCAGATTGTGTCGCATTTGTGCAGAGCCAGGCTTGCCGTTTTCCTGTTTTTTGGTCTAAAAGCTAAGCTAAGCTAACCAATGGATGTCTGTAGCTTCATATTTAATGGACAGACAGTAAGAGAGTGGTATCAATCTTCTCCTCTAACCCTAAACGTCCTATTCCTTTAGTGTTTGACAGAATAGCACAAGCTGTGTATTAGACATTGACCTAAAGGCAGTCCTTGTTGTCTTTGTGTAGTATTGTGTGTCTGAAAGTAAGAGAAAGTTTTCTTCTCTATGTAGACAAATATTCATGTTAACAGTAGCTTTGAAGACAAACTCTCTGCTGGATTTTTCAAACACTGTACAAATGTTAAATTCTGGATTTTCTTGTTTATGTAAAACTCTGAGAAGTCTGTGAACCTGTCAATTATCAGTGTGTGTGTGTGTGTGCGTGCGTGCGTGCGTGCATATGTGTGTGCATGTGCTGGAAGCTCACTGACCTTTTACGACCTGCAAAGAGAATGGCTTCAATGCCGCAGCAGGACAGCGTGGAGTTCATTGTATCTTTATTATACACATGCAGTGATAAAACATTCTGCTGACAGTAATACGCTGTTGGACAGAACTTATAGTTTTAAATATCTCTCTGAGAAACAATTAATACAGTTAAGTTAGTGAGCCAACCTGTAAATCCATGTTTAAAATGGAAACTGTGGTTATATTGCTGATGTGTAGAAAGAATCTGTGAACTGTATAAGCTAGACTTGTTTGGAAATGAGATGTGGATGTATTTATTAACCAAACGTGAACTTTTAGCAGTATTTCAAACAGATGCTGTACTGCAGCAGTACAGTATGCCAGCATAATAAAGAGATGAAAATAGTGGTTGCACTCTTTATTTTTTGTCCTCAACATAAAAATGTTTTTTGATTCCATCTTTACATTCAAAACGTCTTGTTCCCCATCTCACGCAGAAACAAAACATGTACAAACAGCTTTCTCTGGCACAACTCTGCAAAAGTGCAAAAAAAAAAAAAAAAAAAAAATCTAATTTAAACGTGCCAGCGTCACACAAAACCAGGCACCTTTTATCCTTCTTATTCCTCTACCCGGACTACTTTACATGCAACTGGTGTCTATTTTGTACCATGACATATTTTATTACAATGAGGTTTTCAGCTGCATCAGAGCTACTTCCTTGTCCACCCATGGTTTCCAGTAAGAGCATTTTTTTTTTTTTTTCTACCTGCTCTTCCTCTAGTCACTCTTAGGTCTTCCCCAGAGAAGGGGTTCTCTGCTGGGGCCGGTTACTGCTGATCCTCCCCCTCTACTTCCACACCTCCGTAACTCTCCCTCCTCAGTCTTTGGATCTCTGTGTTGAGCCCCAGCAGTGTCTGAGCCAGCTGGAGGTCCTGTGAGCGCATTTCCAGCTGCATGACAACAATGAAAGAACTGAATCAGCATGTCAGGAGGTATAATGTATACACTTCGGTCTAAAGACAGAAGGATGAGATGATTACTAGGTTTCTTTTTCCTATTTTCTCTACATCAATACACTGCCATCAACAACGAAAAAAAATCAGGGCCATTTCTGGACATTACAACGAATAACAACTGTTGCAAACTACAGAGAAAAAGCACTGATTGTCAAATCTGTAAGTTACCAGTCACAGCTTACCAGTTCAGACCTCAGCCAGGTTATCGCTCCATCTATCTGCGCCCTCCTCAGCTCCTCGTTGGCTTGGTAACTTCTGCCGATGCTGACTGGTCTGACAGTGGATCCCGAGTGTTGAGGATCTTCTCTGGACTCCTCTGTTGCTCTGAAGGCATGAATGAGTTTGTTTTTAATGTTCTCCAGCACCATGGTGGACAGAGTATCCTCGCTGTGACTGTCCCGGTCCATGCTGAGAGGGTATGAATGTGCGGGCAGTCACGTGTTGCTTCCCAGCACTTTCTGTGACAGAAAACAATTGACAGAAAACTTTTGGGATCCTCTTCTCTTTCTTTTTCTCCTTCTCCTTCTTTTCACCCCACTGGATCTCCAACTTATGAATCCACTCTTGAGTCGTCCTCCTTCCCCTGTGTGAGCAGGACTCCGCAGCACAAGTTTTTGTGCCTCTGCTCAGCAGCTGCAATCATCCCTTCGCCTGCCTGGAGTTGAACTGGCTTGTTTTGTCATTGTTACTATGGAGAAACAGTCCTCCGCCCCCCCCCACCCCTCTCCTCCTCCTTTCCGTAACACTAATAGGAATGGTGGAAGATCTCGGACAAAGACTATTGTTGCCTCCAAAAGGAACTGAAAAGACCCCTGCAACCATCGCCACAAACCCCCCCCCCTCCCTCCCTCCCCCCTTTCTCTCTTTCTTTTTCTCAGTCAATCCCGCCCCCATACAATTCCAGTGTGAGAAATGTGTTGTGAGTGAGCTCTCATTTGGACGAAAGTGCCCATGTGTAAACCTGAGTGTGTGTGTGTGTGTTTGTGTGTGCCTGCCTGCATGTACAGCGTGCACAAAATCCATCACAACCCCCAGTGGACTTTTTTTCAGTGCCTCTCCCTAAATAAGACCTGCTTGTCAGCTTAGGAGACAGACAGGTTGGGCGAGGAGGGAGACACTGCCTCAGTGTTAGCCGATTCAGAGGCACAAAGGCCATCCTACGGTGAAATATAACCAGGCCCTTTGTGCCCAAGTTAAGTCCATTCCCTTTGGGGTTTGTGGGATGGTTTTTGGCACCGATGAACAGTTTTTCCCCCTGACTTTTGTACAGAGATGCGATAGGGGTCTAGTGTATTTTCCTGCCTGACTTATGGGCCTGGCTATGAGAAGTGAGAGGACACGTTTTGGAGGGGACGTCACACTCAGTCATTGCTTTCAAGTGCACAGCTTTTTCCCAGGGCAGTTCCTCACCTTTAGGAAATATTTAGCTCTCTTTTAGTGTTGTGTCGTAGGGAAACAAAGAAAAGCAGTGTGTTAGTGTGTGTGTCAGAGAGTGAGACCTTGCGACGTCCAAAACTCTCAGCCAAGTTCTGCTCCACACATTGACCATTAAATAAATGGCTTTGATTTGCAATTCTGTCATAAAGTAATCTGTGGACCGGTGGATGAGCATGTTGGACAGCGTCAGACAGAGCGGTGCACTTGTCAGAGCTCATAAGATGTGAGCTATGACTCCATTTGTGCAGAGGTCTGTGGAGCGTGAGAAGAGCTAGGAGGGATTGGGCCATCAGTCTTGAAGGTCAAGGGAGCAGGGCGACGTGTGACAACAATGACAGAGACAAACAAACTGCCAAGTACACAGAGTGAGCCTCAGGTGGTGGGATAGAGGGACAGGGTGGTGGAGAGAGTGAGAGTCCCGCATTGAAAAATGTGACTTAAGTAAAAGTATTTAAGTAGAATTGGCAAAATGTAGTTTAAGTATTTAAAAGTAAGAGTATTCAATGCAGAAACATGTCCCGTGGGATTTTAATATCATCATTATTACTCGTTCATGTGTAAGCAGTGGTTTACTGTTGTAATTTGTTGAGGTGCAGCTAATTTATAACTATCTTAAATAGGACATCTAATCTCCTGATCTTGATTAATCAACTGATGCCCATCACAATTATCCAGAGCCCAAAGTGACACCTTCAAATTTCTTGTTTTGTCTGAACAATGGTCAAAACTTTAAGTTATTCAGTTTACTACAGTTTAAGCAGCAAATCCTCACTTTGAGAAGCTGAAATTATTTAATATCATGCTATGCAATTCTGCATTAAAACTGACTTGAACTATTAATCACTTGTTGAAATTGTTTTAATTTTCAGTGACTCATCATTTCAGCTCCAACTTTATATGCTGTGGAGTAATTTAATCTATAACAACACATCACATCTTTTAAATTCTTCATATGTTTTGCATGCAAATCTTAGTCGGCGATGTAACTAGTCACTCCAGCTGTCAAAGAAATACTGTGGAGGAAAACGTTCAACATTTCCCACTGTGTTGTAGTGAAAGTATAAATAGTACAAATGCCTCAAATCTTACTTGAGTCAGTGGTGACTAAACAACCCTGTCACTAAATTGTTTTACCAGTCATGTTGTGCTGGCAAACGTAATCACTGTCTGTACTATTCGCAGAGGTAATAATATCTTTGGTGTACAAAGCACAGGACTCCAGACACCCGTCAGTGGCTAGATTTAGCCAACAAAAGAACTTTGGTTAGTTTGGTTGGTTAGGGTTAAGCCTTAAGACCATGATCCCGACTGTGATCAACAACAGTTTACAGACATATCCTTGAAGGTTAGGGAGAGATGGTGGTTTCAGTTAAATGCTGATAAACACATCGTCATTCAAGTCACTGTAGGCTTTTTCTGAATTAAATCAGGCCGTGATCTTTCTCTGATCTTGTCATCTCATGAACATGTCATTCAAAGGATGATGGATCACTTAAGTAGCAGCTCTTTGGGCGGGCGGGTCATCCATATTGAAAATTAATATTCAAGCTTTTGAACCACTGTTGGGTGTATTGGTATATTGTGAAAAGATGGTTGTAATATTACCCTCTGTGTTTTTGTATCAACTAAGAGTAATGATATTTTGTACATTTCTAAAGAAAAGGATGGTCGTGATCGTTTTGGTATCTATGGTGAAATTTTTGGTCACATGACGTATCAATTAACTGCATAGAAGGAAACCAGACACAGCCTCAGAAACCAGCCTGATGATCCAGTCACTATAAAGCATGTCAAAAATATAAAAACTATGGTTATATTTGTCCTATTATAAGCTACCCTTGGGCCTTCCTTTTGCATGAAAGATGTAAGATAGCTGAAGGGCCACTTACTCATTGTCTTGCCCACAGTGTTTTGACGAATACCTACTTTTTAATGGTTCTCACAAGTTGCCTGAAGCATAACTGGCTATCTTAACAAACATTAAGTATGTCTTCATTTCTATTTGAGGAAGTGTAAGGTAAGATTTTACAGATGTTTAATGGACTGGAAGAGTTCAGCCCCGCTGTTTAAATTAAATTATTGTAATTATACGGATGGAAAATACTGTAATATGGATGAAACTTTTTTTTTTTTTAAGTACAGTAATTAAATATTGAGGAGCCATTATTGTCTTGAAAAGAAATTCTTCCAATTAAGTCCACCAGAGTCAGGTGATTTCTCTCTCCACTGAAAGAGCTTCCACTTCACCATTTTACACCTGACCATGTGTGTTATCTGAATGGTGTGTTACCATTCAGACAACTTTGCTGCCTCCTAGTGGTACTTTAAGCTATTTGCAGGACATCACAAGAATGGTCTGACATTGCTTTTCTAAAATATGTAAAGTGTTCTGTTGGCTTGTTTTGGTGTGTCCTTTCGGTGTGTCCTTTCGCAGGCTGGTTCAAAGGGAGCAGCTGAAAAGTTGGCATTAAATGTTTCATTGCTGGACTATTCCTTCCCCTTTAAATTGACAATCGACTCAAACAATTAAATTTGAACAATACGGGTAAAAGAGACGCAGACAGAGAATGGGAGAAACTTGAGAGGAAGGCAACAAAAGGTTCAATATCATTAAAAGAAACTGTGTTTTATGTGCTTTACTTGTTTATCTCTACTGTTTCCGCATGGAGTCAGCTTTAGGCTGAAAGTTGAAAACACTAAAAACAATATAGAATACACTCTATGATGTTTAGGCTCAGCTTAAATGTGTAGAACCTGTAGCTGATCAATTTTTCATATTTCTGTGCTGTGTAAAGGCTGGTGTTCTCCAGTAGCCTGAGGGACTGCAGTGCTCAGTCCTCTGTCAGCTGAGCTGGTGCTGTGTCACATGAGCAAACTACTGCTCTTCATGTAGTGCTCCTGGCCCAATGAAGCAGCTGTAGGAGCAGAGCTGTTCCGGAAAAACACACTACATATTTGTAAGACACAAGTAGCCTTAAGTGCCCCCTCCCTCACCCCCCTCTCTCCCACATCAGCACCACTCTGCATCCTGCTGAGGTTTCCAAACCATCCAATCTCAGGGATGGTGGAGGAGGGAGGCAAGACGCCATCTTGTTTGTTTTAGTCAGAGGAGGAGGTGGAAAAACAGCCACCAGCAGCAGCCGGCAAAACGGGAAAAAGGCTAAACGGCTAACCGGTGAGTAATTTATGTTTGATGTGACGGTGAGAAAAACAAAATAGGGCAATTAATATACATATATTTCTCTCTCTCTATATATATATAACTAACAGCTATAACTAACAGTTATATATATAGATATTATACATTATACATATTTACTAATATTCAAACGGAAAGCGTCAACGGTTAATGCGGTTTAATATACCTATAACATACACGGGTTGTAAGGATCGTCTCCTTTTAATGACATTAACATTTAAAAAAGCCTATATGATTTCCGCTGAACTCCTTACCTGCGTATAATGTTACTGACTCGTTATATTTTGCACTGACAGCAGTCAAACATCTGCGTTTGGTGTAGCAGGTGCTGGTACAGTGTAGTGCTGCGTGTACCGTTTTTACCTACCTGAAGGACATATTCCGGTGCATTTGCCTCTACAGACATTTAACAGACTTTTAACACGGATTCAAGCATGTTTATTCATCGCATGCGGACCACAGGATATGTAAAATAAGCATCCCAGACAGGGGCGGTTACAAGTTCATCTGAGATCCGGGGTTTATGCTGCGTCTCATTTACCTCGTAAGTTGGAGTGGGAACTACGTCACACCCGAGCCGTAATGAACAAACTGGCACACCTGTGTGGTTTGGTGTCCGTGGAGGGTGGCGAGTCAGGCAGACTGGAAAATAAAGTAATAAAATGATTGGAAATAACTTCAACAGTGTCCTCATTACCATCATTACCAGGGACAGCAACATTTTATTGTCCACGACTTTCTTACTAATGTACTGTTTATTTCACGTTTACCCTGCCAGCTGAAATAACGTGTTGATGTTACAAATATGAGTGAACACAGCTTTTAACTAACGTAGTCGTTCCGGGTTGCTTTTCTTTTACTTGCTTCATTTTGGTGGCCTGGCTGTCAGAGCATGAAGGCTGGTCGCTGGAAACTGTCCCAGCTTTTGCCCCAGTGACAGGGACTGAGCAAAAACACTACAAGGGGTCTCAGTTTTCAGTTCTGTCAGTGCTTTGCTTCGACCATTCAGTCTAAAACTAATTGATTTCAATGCAGCTATGATCCAAACATGATGAATAGTAAAAGATTTGGAGCCCAAGCCACATAAGCCTCCTGTGATCTCATATGATCACAGGACTGTGCAAAAGACAGAAGAAACTGGGTATAAACAACAGAGTTTACTATATTAACAGGCAGTAATTTAAAGGTGCAAAAGGTAACAAACAATGGCAAGGAGGATGAGCTACATATAAGCCATTACCAAAACTATGTTGACATAGCTTGACAAAAAGAAAAGAAATTAGGTCTGCAACTACCAATTACTTTTATTACAGATTAATCTACAGATTATTTTCTTGATTAATTTATTGTTTTGTCTATAAATTAACCAGAAAATATGCCACAGCCTAAGGTGATCTATTATGATGACTTGTTTCCTTAAACCTGCAGTTATTTAATCGAGACATGTACATTGGTGTTGCCATGCCAGGTAATGGTTTAGAAAAGTCTCACTTAATCAGCTTTCACCCTGCCATGACAACCATATCTGCATCTTCAAAGAGATGCTTAAAAAGCTCAGACAACAAAGTGAATGTGTCCTCTCAGCTATCATTTTTTCTTTCCCTATTCAGAGTTGTGATTTCGGTCATATACAGTGTGTTGTTTCTCAGTGTGTGTTGTTTCCTCTCTCCAGGCCTGACGCCCTCCCCCTTCCCCTTTCCCTTGTGGTGAGAAGACGCTGAGAAAATGTTTTACGCCCACTTTGTCCTCAGCAAACGTGGGCCGCTGGCCAAGATCTGGCTGGCGGCCCACTGGGACAAGAAGCTGACCAAAGCACATGTGTTTGAGTGTAATCTGGAGAGCAGCGTGGAGAGCATCATCTCACCCAAGGTAATTTCTCGTGGTGTTAACTTTCACGCCTCCCAGTCCCTTTCAAAGGAGATTATATGTTGATGGTTTTTTTTGTTAGCCATGCATGTGTATTTTTGGAATTGGTATTACAGCAACCTCTTCAGCTGCTGATATACAAGTACGATCAAGGCTGCTTTTACCCTCAAGCTTTACATGCAAAGAAAGCTTTGCGTCAGAAAGTGTGAAGTGTCCTGATTGATTCAGACTATTAATTCATTAACTGAAATCTAATTTTAGGATTGTGAACAGTGGCTGGTTATAATCTCACAAAAGCAAAAATTTGACACCATATTAAATGTAATATTTTGCGTTTTGTGCCTACTGGCTAGATTTAAATAGGCATTTTTTTTAAACATCATTTGGGCTTTTGTAACTTGACACATTTATATAAAACACTGCAGATTTATTTTACAGTATTGTAACAGGTTTCCTTCTAAATGTACCTTTTATTTTTACTTTGACAGGTGAAAATGGCTTTACGAACATCAGGGCATCTGCTGCTGGGGGTGGTTAGGATCTACCACAGGAAGGCCAAGTACCTGCTGGCAGACTGTAACGAGGCCTTCATCAAGATCAAGATGGCATTTAGACCAGGTTAAGGCAAACACATTGATCAACATGCAATACTGTACATACACACAATATAAATACACACATCGGTTGCTTTACCTTCACCCTGTACACATAATAAATGATTCCAAATTTATTCCGAAATTTGGTTTAAATTATTTCTTGTTAAATTATTCTCACCAATGTATCAACCTGTTTTCTGTACTTTTCCTACCCATCCAAGGCTCTTTCTTAATACCGCATGTGTTTATGTTATCAGAGTTAAGCCTGGTTACTCGTGCTGTAACTCTTTTCCTACATTTTGGTGTTTCAGGTGTGGTGGATCTTCCAGAGGAGAACAGAGAAGCAGCCTACAACGCTATCACTCTTCCTGAGGAGTTCCACGATTTTGACCAGCCACTACCAGACCTCGAGTGAGTTCTCTATCAGTCTACCTCTTCAGGAGAGAAAATTAGGTAGAAGTACACCAGAAAATTTGTTGGGCATTTTTTCCCTGCCTTTACTAGATAGAAAAGGAAAAGTATAGAGATGACAGGAAAAAAGAAAATGATAGAAAGATGGGGGATGACATGCAACAAAGGTCCAAAAGCACTCTCTGGTTCGCAGTTGGCCCTAGGCCACCATGGCAGCTGTTGTGTACATACAGTATACTTGACATTTCTCTTGCTTAAAAACATGTTTTTAGTTTTTCTTTCCAGTATATTTCTGCCTGTAATGTTGACTTTTCATTAATATTGTAGAACATCCGTGTTTTCTTTTCTCCAACTAGAAGAATTATTATGATGGCTCTCGCCCTTGCTCTCGACCTGCATGTATTACTCATTTGAATATTTTGGGAAATGTAGATAAAAAAGAGACAAAGCAGGTGGGTTTACAAGCACTTCAACACAAATGAACTCCTGGAAAGTATTGAATAAGTAACAAAGTCTGGATTTAGTTTACATATGAAGGGAAGTGCAGTGAATACAAGATAAATATTGAATTGACTGTGCGGTGTGCTTTTGCTTTCAGTGACATTGACGTGGCTCAGCAGTTCAACTTGAACCAGAGCAGAGTGGAGGAGATCACAATGAGAGAGGAGGTGGGCAACCTCAACCTGCTGCAGGACAATGACTTCGGTAGGCATCTTTTCCTCCGAGCATGCAGACTTTTGTTCATGTTTGACAGTCGAGAGCTTCCATGTAACACCACAGCTTTATCCTGTTATAAATGGGAAGCCTCACGGAAGGATCTGAGGATAAATACTTCATGAAAGGATACTTTTCTGAGATCCGCCAGCCACCAGCAGTTTAAACACTTTTTTTTCATTGTTAGTTGACAGGTTCACAGCCTCCTCTCGCCCACATTCTACATTATATACTGTAAGGATACACATTTCTGTTGTGCAGCTGACTTCGGGATGGACGACCGGGAGATGATGCGGGAGGAGAGTGCGTTCGAGGTGGACATCATGGGAACATCAGCTTCCAACCTGCTGCTGGAGGCTGAAGGAGGAACTAACCCGATGGCTGATAAGTCCAACCACCTGGAGTACGATGACCAGTACAAGGATGACTTCGGAGACAACCCCATGGAGAGTAATGAGGGAGGCATGCTGGGTAATATCCTATACTTCATTGGTGAAATAGATGCAATAATTTTAGGACAGCAAGTTTTGAAGCTTTTTTTTTTTAACCTGAGAAAATAATACAACACAGTTTAGTTTTCTGATATCTGTATATGACACTTGGTGTGTCCCAAATCGGATACTTCAGTCAGTCAGTACACTCACATGTAGTACACTGTGTTCATAAAATGACCTTTTTATCTCTGTGTAGTGGACAAGCTGCTTAGTAACGAGGATGGCGGCGGCATCTTTGACGATCCTCCCGCCATCACAGAGAGTGTGATGATGCCTCAGGACCACGGAGACGATGATGATGACTTTGATGCCCTCTCCGGTCAGTTCCACAAATAACTGCAGCACCAAGTCGTTGTTTCGTGGTGTGTTGCAACAGCTAGTGTTGTATACAGTTGAAATTACAGTGCGTCCGCCTCTTCATTAATATCCATTGTGGTGAGCGGCTGTGATTGTGTGTTGTTAGCGGGAGCCCCAGACAGTCCAGACTCAGGCCCAACAGAGCCTCTACCAGCCATGGCGGACCAGGCAGAACAGACAACCCTGGTTCACAATGAAGAAGAAACCTTTGCTCTGGAGCCCATTGACATCACAGGTAAAGCCGCTGATGTCAAGAGATATCAGAGCTACTTCGGTTTGTGCTGCTGTTTTACATCCGTCTCCCTGTGGCCTGTGCAGTAAAGGAGACCAAGGCGAAGCGTAAGAGGAAACTGATTGTGGACAGCGTGAAGGAGTTGGACAGTAAAACCATCCGTGCACAGCTGTCTGACTACTCTGACATCGTCACCACCCTGGACCTGGCGCCTCCCACCAAGAAGCTGATGATGTGGAAGGAGACCGGAGGAGTCGAGAAGCTTTTCTCGCTGCCTGCTCAGCCTCTCTGGAACATTAGGCTGCTCAAGGTAACAGAGATGTACAATTATTCAGGGATAATTATACACAGTGCTATTGTGATAACAGTCCCACAAATTACAGAATTAAAATACTTTATCTCTCTGCCTCTTTGCTTTCTCTGCTTTTTTCTTTTTAGATGTTTACAAGGTGTCTGACACCGCTGGTGCCAGACGAGCTGAGGAAGAGGAGGAAAGGTGGAGAGGCTGACAGTCTGGATGAGTTCCTCAAAGATCTGGAGAACCCAGAGGTGCCCAGAGAGGAAACCACAGGCCACCAGCAGAGAGACATCATGGGTGAGAAATGGCTTTTTGTGTACAGTTATGCTGAATGGGCACAAAGGAAACATATTTTGTTAATGGCAGTGTTCCTATCGTACACGTCCATTTGCCTTCCAGACCAGACCATAATGGAGGAGGCGAGTGCACTTCAGACGTCAGCTGTGGAGGGAAGCAGGACGACGCTGGATGAATCAGTCATGCCCCCACCATCTTCCCAACGAGGCCTGAAACGCAAATCCCAGGACACAGAGCCAGCCCTGCCTGTGAGTACACATGTCCCCATAGTAGTAATGTCTGAACTGAAGAAGATGCAAGCTCACCACCCATCCTTACACCTATAAGACTTTTCCACATCCGATATCCACCCGTATTTAATGCCATCTAACTCCAGTAACTTCACTCTCTGTTTTCTTATACCCTTCACTCTCCTCTGTTGCTCTGCTCTCTCTTTGTCCTCTCTAATAACTCTCCCACCATCTCTGTGTCCTCTTACACTCTTTCCTCTAGATGGGAGCTTTGGACCAGCAACAACAACAGCAGCAGCAGCAGCAGCAGCAGCAGCAGCAGCAGCAGGGGTCCAGAGCCTGTAATGTGTCCCAGCAGCTGGAGGCGTCGTCCAATGTGGAATTACCCCCAGAGGAAACCACCGCTAACATCAGCCAGCTGATAGAGTTGGACCTGCTCGCCGATAAGGACAAGAAAAAGAACGATGATGACTCTGATGAAGAGGTGAGATTGAAATCCACAAAAACTTTTAGTATTATTTTTTCTTATTTTATATAGGTTTTTTTTTTTCATCCTTTAACTGAGCATGGACAGACTCGTTGTATCAAGGACTCCACCACCTTTATCAGTATTTACAGCAGAGTTTTTCGTGTGTCAGGAGGAGGAGGCGCAGGGAGGCGACCAGGACCAGGAGGAGAGGAGGTGGAACAAGAGAACCCAGCAGATGCTTCATGGCCTACAGGTGTGTTTATGGTTGTTGTCTTAGAAGAAACAGAAGAACAGAGCAGCCAGTGAAGAACGATGCATGAAATAATACAGCAGTCAATATAAATTAATAGTAGAGATCACTGCCCCCTGTGAGTAGATGAAGCAAAGTACACCACTAATACATTATTAAATGATGGAGATACAAAATGCTTGCACCTTCCCTTCCCTGACTCTCTCTCTCTCTCTCTCTCTCTCTCTTTCTCTCACCCTCACCTTGGCTCAGAGGGTGATGGCCAAAACAGGCGCCCAGTCGGTCAGCCTGCTGGACCTGTGCAGGAACAACAACAGGAAGCAGGCAGCAGCCAAGTTCTACAGCTTCCTGGTACTGAAGAAGCAGCAGGCGGTGGAGCTCGTCCAGGAGGAGCCTTACAGCGACATCATAGCTACACCCGGACCTCGCTTCCACATCATCTAGGAAAAAAAATACTCTCCTGTGTACCCCTTACATTTAGGTTGGAAGACAATTGTGTGTTTACACAGCGGCAAATCAATCAACCGTGTTACTTGTAGACTCATCTCTCCCACTACAGCGGGGAAAAAAAAAAGAAGATCTTATCTGATAGGTTCTCATGTACACAGCCAAAAGGAGCATGCACTATATCCAGTTTCTGCAAGAGTACAATATAACAGTTAACAGTAGTGATTTGCAGACTCGGACCAGGAATGCATCATTACACACGTGTAGTGTAGCACTTTAAGCAGTTGTTTTTGCAAATGCTTTGCCCACATCAGACTGTTTACGCCTCACAAGAGTCAGCAAAACTACAATTGTGTCCCAAATCTGTACAACACACTGACTCTAAGCAGGATCTGAGTATGAAGTATGTTCAGACTATGCATACCAAAACACATTAGATTTTTGAGTGCACTGTTATTCTCCTATAATGCAATTCACACAGGAAATGGAGAAGTTTCTTACAGCTAGAAAATCAAATTTGAATCTAATTGTGGATGATGGTGAAATAGCACTACAACATATGATAAAACATAAAAAGTTCCTAATACTGGATAATGGAAAAACTTTGTCTCTTTGTTTAATCAGCAGTGTCATTCTGAAGTCAGTTGGAGTCACGTCTGATGACACTTAGTATCACTTCCTGTAAGGATAAAATGGTTAAGATGATTTCTGGCCAAAAAAAAAATACTGTGAAGATTAGTATATAGTGTGTAGTATTGAATTGGGACACATTTTATAAAAAAAATATCTTCAATTTTAACCTATAGATAATGTAAACATCAGTGGTCTGCCATATGTGCATGCTCTATCCTGTAATATTTTACTAGAGTGGAATTGCTCCAGGAACTACTTTTTATTGCCGTCTTGCTCTTTAACTCTTAAAATGACTTGAAGTATGTGACACACAGACTTCTTTTATCCAATGTCCCTTTTATATATTGATAATCATTTAGTTACTGAGTGACATACAGTAATATATTGTCTTGATAATGAAGACTATTCAGCTGTTGTGGTGTAATACTGTTCCACAGTAACCTTTGACAGTGTAAATCAAATAGATACTCTGTTCAATATTCATTTAATGTTATAACATATAACAGTTGTAGAGAAATGAATTGTTTTTTTATTTAAAAGTAAAATGGATTTTTAATCTAAATGACGTGGAAACCTGAAACATGATCAAGAGAAGTCTGAATGAACACATGTGGGATGTGCGTCATTGTTTGGACTCTAAACTCATCGTACGACAAAAATACAACAGAACTAATCTAGCAGAAAAAATGAATCACACAGTGTACAGTATAGTAAGTCATTGTGACCACACTTCTTTCTGTGCTTCTGCGAAGACAGCTGAATGCATTGTTTTTGATATCCACTTCCATATAAACTGTTTGTTATGTAATGTCTGAGTGCATCTTATATTTCAAACTATGTGCCTGTAAACCTGCTTTTTTATTTTGTATAAAAGCCAAGACAAATCCTCTCAATCTCAAAAATATTGCTTTGTTTCTGGACAGTTTCAGTTCCATGCCTGCAAAGCCATGAGTCCTGGAAACTGTTGCAAAACTTTTCAAAATAAAACAAATACCATGACCAGTATTTCAGAATGGCATTTTGTGTAACAAACATCAATTTGTTCTACGTGGTAACATCAGAAAAACAGACCAGAAGTTAATGTGGAGAGTGTAATAATTTTAGATTGGGGTTATATTAAACATGAACATCTTTGACTTCTTCGAATAATATTTATGCAAGAAACAACATGGCTTAAGTCTCTGTCTTCTTGCCATATTATGTATTTGTAACTGCAGGAGCAGATAAATTAATCTCCTCACTCCGTCTTTTGTTTCTTATGTCGATTTCTTTTCCTCTTCTCCCCCTGCTCTGACTTCTTCAGTGGTGGCGTCGGCACTCCTTTCTTCTTCTTCTTAAGGCAGCTCAGAGGGTTAGGGTTGTTCTGTTTCCTCTTCCTCTTCTTCCCTCGCCTCTCTCCGTCCTTCTGGCTGATTCCCTGCTCCTCTTTCAGGCTGCGGATGCTCTGCTGCTGGGCCGGGCTCACCAGCTGGCCGAGCTGGACGGCCTGCACGTGGTCGAGGGACGTCTGGCTGGGTTTGTCCAGCACGATGGTGTTGAGGATGATGTAGAGCAGAGGAACGCCTGGGATTTTCTTCAGGCCCGTGGTCACTGTGTGGTCCTAGAGATCACACACACACACACACACACACACACACACACACACACACACACACACACACACACCAAACACAGTGGACTTGTGTGAGGGGATGCAAATGTTATACATGTCAACAGTACTAGTACTTGGCTTTCATTTAGGCTCTTCCTAAACTTCCTAAACAACTTCCTTAACTGATATCAAGGGATTCATCAAGTTAATAAACACCACAAGCAGCACTCTCTACCTGTCATTAGGATAAAACACATTTTTATATCGATTCTCCCAGGGTTGATGCTGATTTGCTTCATTCTAAATCAGTGTTTTCTCCACATTTTTGACTGGTGGCCCCTTAAAATGAAGCAGGGTCTGCTTGCAACCCCTCGTCCAGTTGTGATCATTTAAACAAAGAGGGATTTTCTCCTCTAAATCTCGAATCTCTAAGTCTGTTTCATTTGAATAACTGTTAGAGGCTCAAAGAGGTAAAATCCGTCAGTGTTTTACAAGGAAAAAGAAAATATCAGAGAAACATATGAAAAAAATTTGAGCTGTGCATCCACAACCAGGAGATATTTTAAACATATGAGAGTGGACTAACTCAGGATGCTATTACACAAGTTCCCTTTTCTCCATTTTGACTCATTCATACTTTGTGCTGAGCACCTAAATCTGCTCAGACTCCCTCCCTCTACATTGTTTTTAGAGACACACATGCATGTGACATATGCAGCCGCACTGTCTGGTATATTTACTTACAACACTTTTAATAGTTTAAGTACTTTCTTGGCAAACACCCAATCTACTTACTGGTAATCTCTTATATACAGATGGGAATCTAATGAAAGCTTTATTAAAAAGGTAAATAATATGCCGGAGAGGTCAAATAGCTAAGCTTATATACACTTTAAATCCTACTTTGTAAAGGTTTTAGTTGAAACTGTTTTAAAGAGGTGCTGACGCAACTTTATGATCATGTGGATTCTGAAGGTTGTGGTGCTGTTGAACTGTATTGCATTATACTGATATTTTGACAACCAGCCTCCAAAATGGTCATAAAGTTAAATCAACTCCTCTCTAGAGTGATTTAACAAAAACTAAACATTACACGCTTCATGAACAGAGGATTTGTTGCATGACTGTTATATTGCACTGGGCTCATCTGGGTCTATCTAATACACTGGAAACTGAGTGTTGAAACATGTAGACAGTGCTGGCATGAGACACTTCCAACCAAAAACTAATTTTATTTCTAATGTCATTTCCTTGCATATAATACAAAATGTAAAAGCCTCCTCTGGGTGGTGTTTGAGTGTGTGTAGGATCTCAAAGTATTTACCTGAGTGGCTACAAAGTAGTGGTGTGGGTTTGTGTCTCCCAGCATGGACAGCAGACACTCTGAAGCGGGGACTGGGTTCTTGAAATGTGGACAATTCCTGACCTGAAACCTCTGCAGGATGATTTTGGCTCCATACAGCTCTTTCCCCAGAGTCTCCAGTTCTTTCAGTGCACAGCTGAGATAAACACACACATGGGTAAATAACGGGATATTAGATAAGATGGGACAGTTAAATGTATCCAGTACAGAAGTAAATCTACTCACTTTGTGGTGCACAGATGCACCTCCCCCATCAAGTACTTGGGCATTTGTTCTTTGATCTGGATCTTGTTTTTCAACGCAGCCTGACAAAAAGTCCCATCGATGAGGATCTGAAAAGGTTCCCTAAAGTTGAAGTTGTATTTGTAGAAGCTTATGGTTTTCTTGGCTTGTTTCTGTCTCTTGATCTTCATGTTGGTTGTTGGGTAAAGTCAAAGCACAGGCTGGTTATGGTTTATAACAACTTTTCTTCTTTCTCTTCAGAAAATATCAAGAGCCTTTAGCGATGTTTTCAAATGTCCGGTGCAGTTTAACAAATTTAATGGACGATTTTCGTACACATTCTCTAAATATCACTATCAACGGACTTCAGCATGGATTCTGATGTACACACGCTTGTGGTACTTACTTCTAATGACACCGATCGGAAACAAAATACACGACGAAGGTTCCGGTGGTTTAAGAAATTGTCCGACCGTCCTGTCGTTTATGTTTTGTTTTATTGTGTGTCACACTGAGTTTCATTAGACAAAGATGTACAATCCAATAATAAACAAACCAGCCTAAACAAAAACAAAAACCCTAAAGTATATAGATACCTTTTCAAAATTGGGACTTTTAAGTAAAACATTTTGACTTTTAATTCAAAATTATGAGTTTACTTTGTATTGTTTATAGGTTAGTTCATATAAAATAGGTGATATATCATAGTCATTATCTCGTAATTATGAATTAATATTTCATTATTGAACTCTGGTATAGTCTATAAGGTAATATCTCATAATTTTACATCATCTCATATTTTTTGACTGATTATTATTATTATTATCATTATTATTATCATTACAGTGGGTGGTGTTTATATTCTCCTCGTCTCTTGTTTTCCCGGAAGCGGAAGTCTTCATTCAGGTAGAGCTACAGCAGCAGCGCCGGTTGCTTCGGCGACACTTGTCGTTACCTCTGACTAACTGTAAACGTTAGCTCGGCTCGGGCCGTGTGGGTCAGGTCGGTGCTTTACCTTCCTTCTTTGCTTGTACGGTAAATATTATGGCGGCCGCGAATCCACGGTCCTCGAGTGATGGCGGCCCGGCCAGCAGAGGAGGATTCTCGGCCGGGGAGAGCAGCAACGACGGGTCGGGCGGCAGCAGCAGCGGCGGCAGCGGAGAGGGCGAACGGGAGCGGGACCGGGCCACCTTCGAGTGCAACATTTGTTTGGACACTGCCAGGGACGCTGTCATCAGTATGTGCGGCCACTTGTTCTGGTACGAGACGAGGCGGGGAAAGAGGGGTAGTTTTGATGTGTGGAGGTGGTTGTTTTTGTTTCTGTGTTGTCCGCCGGACCGGAGTGTAGTTTTGCCGTTTGTGCGGCCTCCTTTACCATCAGTTGGAGTTAATTTGACGGCGCAATCACACCCAACGACTCGCTCTAACCCGGAGGATGTCTCCGCATTATGTAGGACAGTGACAGACACATAGCGAATCAATTCTGGCCCTCCGACTAATATATTCGACGAAAGCTGAAGTCTTTATAGTTCAAAAGTGTTAGATCGAAAACTTTTACATATTCCTCCACAGATCTACTGTGGATAACCACGGTAGGTGGGGCCGGGGTGAAAATTTGTTGTTGCCCTCTGTACACCTGTCTGCTTCATTAGAAACCAACCAGTACGCTAGAGATGAAATGATTAGTTGATCAGTTGAGTGACAGGTTTGCTGGGTTTTGTCATTTTCTACAACAGTAAAACGTGTGTTGTTTTGAATCTTGTACAGACAGTAAAAAGCTGTTTGAATACGTTAACGCTGCATTCAGGAATAACGATTTTTCCACTGTGTTCTGACCTTTTTATAGATCAAACAATCAGCTGATTAAAGAAAATAACCAGGTCAGATCAGATCAGGTGTATTGATGATAAAGACAGTCAACTCTTGCAGTTGTTCTATAATGTAATAATACTTCTTTGCACGAGTTTTTATGTATTAATTATTCAAAATAGTGAAAAAAATTTAAGCAATTTTATGAAACACCACTTTTTTTAAGTCAATATAAACTGAGCAACACCTAACTAAACCAAAATTACATTTTAACACAGAGCCTCTCCACTACACCAGGGGCACCAATGGTTCCAAGATGGAGTATGGAGGACTCATGGTTGATATTTTACCTCAAGTGATAGAAATTTATGATTAATCAAATTATGTAGACAGATATGTTATGGTATAAACCTGTGGCTTTTGGGTCCCTATGCAGTTGCCCGTTTTGGCCAGTTGGTTTGATGTGGTGTAGGTCAGAGGTCACAGTTGCATTCAGTACCATCGTAGATCACACACCCTGATCACTCACTCAGGCTCTCTGTGACACATTAACTTTGCTGTCTTAGTTTAAACTGTGTGTTGATCATTTGTAGCGTTCAGATCAGCTCAGTCTTCAGTCATTCACGGCAGCAAATACACCGTCAGGTTTACTGTAGAGCTGACACGATTAGTTGATTAATTGATTATTTAATTTTAATTTAACTAATTTAAGCAAAAACACCAAATATTCTCTGGTGTCAGCGTCTCATATATGAGGATTTCCTGTTGTTTTATATCATTGTAAAGTGAATATCTTCTGGTTTTGTATGTTTTTATATGTTTGATTTAGAAACAGTACAGTATGTCAACTGGAGAGCAGTGAGTGTTCGCTGTAACCTGAGTTTGCACTTCAGCTGTGATTCTAGTCGTTTCTCCTATCGTGGTTTTGATCAAGAGTTGTGCAAGCCTCAACCTTGAAACCACTTTGTGTTGAAAATGTACACAATGTACACATATTCTCAGTGACATTTGTGTGGCTCATTCATGAGTTTTGAGTGCTGACTGACGGCCATGCCTGCTCACAGGTTGAGGCTAATGTGAGATTAAGGCCAAGAGTGTCAGACTGGAGTCAAACCCAAGGGCGTTGTAATCAGTAGTAAAAGTCATAACAGGGTTTGTCACACACAGGAGAAAATGTAACTTCTCTTTACTTGTTGGTGCGCAACTGTTTGGTTTTGTTGTTTTTTTTGTGTTTTGGCAGCAGAAAAAGATGGGGTTTCATGAAGTAAGAAATTTTTACCATTTAGTGTTTCTCCCAGGGTTATGTGAACATGATCAAATGGAGTGTTAGTTAGACTGATTTACAAGATTTTTTTATTTTTTATTTTTTTCAAGGGAGGTGCCTGAATCTGGCCCTCACTCCAGCAGAGCGGGTGTAATGCACTTTAACAGTGGTAACCACCTGATATTAAACACCAATCTTTTATTTTGAAATAATCCTTTAATTTCTGGATAAGTCTGAAAATTAAAGTAATAAAATTGGGTTTTTATTTTGTGTAACCGCAACTTTTACAGATAAGCACTAAGCTGTGGCAGCAGCGCATCTGACACTAAAATGTCTCTTTCTAAAATAAATATTTATCTGCGTGACAGACAGTTTTAAGAAAGGAGGACAGGTTAGTGTAACGCCTTTCTTTCTCATCTACAAGAGTAGTGTGCAAGGAACAAGGAGAGGGAGAGTCAAATTGCTCAGCTTTGAAGTGTCTAAAGCTGAAATAATGTCAAAAAATATACATACATGTTTTCCACCAAGTCTTTTAGTGGCCTCTCTAACAGTTGGCAATTTGGCTGCTGGCCCACAGTTCATTTCAGTTTGCCATTCTGACTCCTTGGGAATAGTGCATGAATTTTAATATGGTCTAATTATGTTTTGCTGATGATTTAGTTAATTGATCAAGGGAATGGTGCATTTCTGCTGAAATCTTATATTTGCATGTACGGTTGCTACATAACCATGAACTGAAGTTCCTGTGTCATGGGCTGATGTAATTTAGTTGCCATGTTACCTGTGTCCCCCCTGTTCTCTCACTCAACGTCGGTGCAATGTGATGAAACCGTGATGATGAAACTATCAGCAACAAAGAAAAGTGTTGACGTCAGTTCACCTGCTGCAACTTCAAATTTGCAACTTAATTAGAAAATTAACTGTAATTTTTCATCACAAATATCTCAAACTCTGTCACATGCATTTTCTGTGTCAGATGGCATTAAGCTCCTAACACATCTTGTATTCAGCTGAAGTGGACATTTAACTTTGACACAGTTTATTGCTTTGTGCCAGCTAATCTGGCTGGCAGTTCTCCATCAGTTCAGCTGCAGGAAAACACAGCGTTTGTGGCCAGAGTGCTTTGAATTTCACAGTTGTGAACCAGTATCACTTTGTTTAGGATCATAGCTCTTGCTGTATATTCAACTATCTAGAAACAGTAACAGCCTCCTCATAAGTGCACTCTGTTTCATCAGATATTTCACCAACACTTAATCAGATTTTAGTTTGAAAATTACAGTAAATTAAGGAATCAGCCATTCTAGCATCCAGAGGAATGATTTGTGTGAAAGAGACATTAATGCCAATTTAATACTTTGAGGTTAATGAGCATGTGACATCGTTACTATCCCCTTGAGTGTCCCTGTCTGTGTTGTCGTCAGAGATGTCGGCCGCGCAGGCTGCAGGAGAAGTGAATTTCCTTCACCAAGACTGAATTAGAGCTCATCAAGTTAGATTAGAAATGGAGAAAAGTAATATCAGGGGAATCAGTGGAGAAAGCAAAATTACATCATCCATTTACATTAACCACCAGCAAGCTTCTGACTGTAAGGCTCAGAACAGGAAGGCATGTTGAAAGTTCAAGTGAAAGTGTTTGCATATGTAAAACCGGCAAGAAAAGCAATAATCTGAGTGGTTAAAAGGATGGCTCCCAACCTTTTTGCCTTATGACTGCTTAAAATTAAACAGTTGCTACTTGCGACCTCTCATCACACATTGTTCGAGGTAGAAGAGAAGAGATAGAAATGTCTGGTGTCCCACAAGAAAAAAAGATTGGAAGAAGCAATCAGCATAATTTAGTGGGTTTTTTTTTTTTTCCTCTTTCTTGACCTGTTAATCTCCTTGTAACCCCTCACGTTCATCTGGCGATCCTTTGTAGAGTCACAACCCCCCCCCCCAGTTGAAAACCTAATTATTCACGTAATTTTTCAAATTAATGCCGTTTGGGTACTTGTGTTAACATCTTGGCACGAGTTCACCAGTTATACTTGAACTTGGAAGGTTGCTCGTGATTGGTTGCAGTTTGTGTGCCAAACTAATTTCAACTCACACAACTCGCAACTATTTTTAAAATTATCTGCCTGTTATTTTCTCTTATGTGTTAAGTCTATAAAGTGTCAGAAAATAAGAACAAAATCCTGGCATAATGCACAAACTGCTTGTTTTCGCTACTAACTACATCTTTCAGTGAAATATTCACAGAATACAAACAAAAACAGCAGATTCTCATAATGGAGAAGCTGAAAGTAAAGAGTGTTTAGCATTTTTGTCAAACATTGACAATTATGAAAATAGTTGCTGACTATTTTAATGTCAATCGATAAACTGGACAGCTAATTGTATTAGCTTTATGTTTAACCATATCTCGTGGTTTTCATCAGGAATTTGCTTCCACACACAGCTGACTAATTGTTATCTCATGACCGTCCATCCACACTTTGGTCATGTGATTACACCTCCATCCCCTGATGAAGACTGTTAAATGTGCTCCAAAGCTCCATCAAAAGCTACTAAATGGACCTTAAGATTATTTAGCGACATGCTTCTAAATGTTAGCATGTTGTTTCAGGCGGTCTCAGGCTGTTGCTGCTGTAGCATCCATCTTTAGGTCTTTGGATATGAACCTGTGGAGAGAAAACTGTGGCTGCGGGGCTTTTTTTCATTGGATTACAAGAACATGACTTGTATATGTTTTTCAGGAATAAGCTTATATGCTGTAAATCTGTTTTCCCTTAGCCGATCAAGTAGCCCATCATCTGCACTCGCCTATGTTCCTTTGAACAGATTTGATTTTAATAAATTTTAATAAAGGCACCACCTTGTTCTTCTTATCTAATGAGCAAAATGATAAATTGAGAAAATAATCAGTTTACACTCGGAGGTATAGGGTTTCCAAAGGGTTCTGCCTTTCCAAAAAAAACAACCACCAAGCATTGTGTTTACTAACTGCTGTCTGTAAACACCATTATCATCAGGAGGGACTCATAAAGCAGATAATAATAATCTTGTCCAGGTTAAGATTCATATTCTAATTTGATGTTATGAAAATAAGACCTGGGGGGGGGGGAGGGACGTCACATAATCGAGTCCAATGATACACTAAGGAGGCGTACGCGCTAACAGTTGTTGAGCCACTTATTGGAAATGAAGCAGTTATTTTCAGTTCTGCTTTACGTGTGGCCACATGTTTAATCAGTTGAATGCGTTGTTATGTTAGCTTGGGCCTTATGCTTTGTTGAGCCGTTTGCATCCACAGGAATGTCATTCTCAGCAGCAATCTGATAGCTGGTATTACACTAATGCTGTACACACTGAGCCGCGTTGTGAGCCCGTGTGTGTGTGTGTGTGTGTGTGTGTGTGTGTGTAAAAGCCTGCAGATTGACAGCTTTATGGTTTGTTTGGCTCAGCTGGTTATTTTGTTATTGTTCATGTTTAGTTTGGCGGGGTCAACCCGAGGCGATCGAGGTTTTGAATGTTTTGTGGTTATGAAGGTGCTGAAAGCGTCAGAAGCAAGTCCTGCCTGTTCCTCGGTATGATCTGAGTTACTCTGCTGTCAAAATCTGTGACAGAAGCCTACAGAGAGATAAAGAACATGGTAAAGTCAAAAATCAGACTCTTCAAAGGAAAATAAAAACTCTTTCCAGCTACAGATGCTGCTACAAACTGCACTGTTACACCTAGCGGCAGTATTTGCTTCCATTTATGCCTTAAACAATCTTCTCAGTCAAAAACGACAATACCTTCGTGACAGGAACACACTCGTTCTGGGTTTTGAAAAGTGCTCTGTTCACATCATGTAGAAATTTAAAATGCACCGAGGGGCAGAAGGTACATCTCTCTGCAGCGTGTCCTAATTAACTGAGGTCCCAGGGCAAAACTATAGGCTGGTGGTGCAGGATTAATATATACAGAGCTTTCAAACTTGCAGATTAGTTTGGTAAAATTAAAAGTTGCAAAGAAAAAACCCACCTTAAACCCATTCATTTGCCTTTTATTTGTTATATATACTGTCGTTTTTTCAGTTGATTCTCAGCTGATACAAATCTGAAAATTCTGACTTTCCTGTACGCAATATTGAACTGATGATTCCAAGAAAATAAAGCACAGTTTTGGAAAAATCAGCTGGGTAGATAGTTATCTTATGACGTTCATCAACTGTATTCATCTATAGTATTATATCTTCCTATTGGAAAACACATTTTCAGCGCTCAGGGCTGATAAACTCACTCTTTGCCCACAAAACAGTCACTTAAAGTGATATATTAACTGAGCTCAACAGCCATCAGTGCTCAAGCCAAGTTTCTTAGCTCAGTGTCTGAGGAGAGAAAGTAAATGACGCTCGCAGCGGATGGAGTGCAGGGTTTTCAGAGGACAAGATGAAGCCAGTTTTTCGAGTAGGTAAGGAGCTTTGTCTTCTTGTCATGCTACTGACGTGACATGAAAAAAAATCTTTGCATTGTTTGATTGTGTGGTTGGTAGAGAGCTGTAAGGTGCAGGATGTAGGAATATTCACCTACCTACGCCAACTCGATGTAGCACCTCCCCGACCCTCCATCCTGGACTCCCACAATGCAGCAGCGGGTCGGCCGGGCCAGCCGCCACTCAGGCAAGACTCTGGTAACTGCTGACAACAGATGGAGCCAATTAATAGCAGCGATGGGGAGCAGGGATGAGTTTAATCAGCCGTCTCGTTAGGAACAGGTTCTTCTAAAGCAGCTGGGCTTTCATAGGTTGGAAGCCACGGGTGACAAAAGAAAATCTGACCAGTCTCACAGCACTTAGAGTTACCAAAAACTACTCAGGCGTCGTGTTTACTGCATCCACTGAGGTTGATTTGATACATATTCTTTTTTAAAAAAAAAAAAAAAAAAAAAACATCTTCAGGGATGTTGGTCGTGTTACTGAAGCAAACAGCTGACATTTTAAAAGAACGCAGCTATTGTGAGAATGGAAATTAATGTTTTTGTTCCTCTCTGTCTCTACAGCTGGCCCTGTCTTCATCAAGTGAGTATTTCCTCCGTTGGTCTCTTGCATTGCAACACTTGTTACACACACACACACACACACACACACACACACACACACACACACACACACACACACACACACACACTGTTGTTTTTAATATTCTAACAGATTCAACTTCTGCTTAGGTAGAAGCCGGGTGGAGCTCTGCTGGGAATTAATGTGAAGTCACTAAAATACACACACTGATAATCAGTCAGTCTTGTGGTCAAATGATTAGTTAGTTGACAGAAAATAAATTACCAATTATTTTGACAGTAGATTTATTGTTTGATTTATCAAGTAAGAAATGCCAAACACCCACAGATTCCAAGTGTTTAAATTTGAGGATGTCAGTGTAGTTTGAGTATCTATGGATAAAATTTGGGGGAAATTGTGAGAGGCTTTTTTTTTTTATTGTCGACATTTTATAGATAAAATGATAACCAATAATGAAAATATGTTAGTTGCAGCCCTAATTCAGTCATGCCCATCATCACAATGTCCCTGGTTCAAATGCAGGGAGCACTTTTGTTGCACGTCATCCTTCCTTCCTTCCTGTCGTTTTGTACCAGCTGCTGTCAATTCTAAAAAATAAAAACTGCTTTAGCAGCTTTGTCGTGAACTCTGACCGGTGAATTTGCGCTGAAAGCCGACAGACAAAATGTCATTTTGATGCATCTTGTTTATGACAGATATTTAATTCTAGCGGTGTCCCATCACTCTCTTTTGTACCATTTAACACTAACAGACTACAGCACAGCTTTGCTCTATACTGACTTCAATTCTTTACTTACTCCATCACTGCACTGCTCACAACTTGCATCCACGCTGTGTTCATTTGTTATCATTTAGGGTTACGAGTCAATGTCGGTGGCTAGAACTAATAGATGCAACAGCAAAGTGAGGGAGATGACAGTCAAGCAGGGTTCGCACACACACACACACACACACACACACACGCACACACACGCACGTCCAGTGTGAGTGGGCTGTTTGCGGAGCAGTTGCCTCCAGCATGTAAAGTGAAGTGTGATCAGAGGGTTGTGATGTAACCTCAGCGTGGAAACTATACCTGTCAGTTGACTTAGTGCAGCTTAAACATGCTAATGCACTTAATGCATCTGTTTACTTCAGCTTTCTCTGCTACTCACCACTTCACCAAGTTGAGCTCTACATGGCTCAGTGAAGCAGCATAAGCACTACATAGATTCAACTAAAATTAAATTTTATTACAGCCATTAATAAGATCTTACTATTAATAATTTTAACGGTTTTGTTGTGAATGTGCTGCTAGGGCAAAATGCCACAGGAGATCTTTGTTGCGCTTCAGGTAATAACCACCAGGATAAATCTTGAAACTGTTACAGCTTTTCTTGGAAAATGTAGTTGATGTCTTTGCTTTTATTTGGCACTGAACCCAGTATTTAGAAAGCAAACCTTGATTTGCCGTAGGAATACACTAGACAGGGTTTATCTGATTTGAATTCTAAACATTTTTGACATCTTTCTCCCCCTGTTGCCCCTCTCAGTGGTTAGAGACACGGCCCAGCAGGCAGCAGTGTCCTGTATGTAAAGCTGGAATCAGCAGAGAGAAAGTCATCCCACTGTACGGCAGAGGGAGCTCCAGCCAAGAGGACCCCAGGTACACCGGAGTCCATGTTTGTTTATGTGCTAGCTTAATGGTTGCCTTACGAATGACTGACTGTTTCTGTTGTTGTTCAGGTTGAAAACTCCACCTCGGCCTCAGGGACAGAGAACAGAGCCAGAGAGCAGAGGCGGGGTGAGTCGGTTTCTACTCACTGATTATGTTCCAAAAGTCAATCAAATCCTTTCTCACTGCTCGTCATAATTACAGTATTATCTTGACATGTTTTCTGTATTTTTAAAACTTGATCTTCGGTTTTTCTCTGTGCACAGATGTTCCAGGGTTTCGGGGACACTGGCTTTCACATGTCTTTCGGCATCGGTGCTTTCCCCTTCGGCTTCTTCACCACAGTCTTCAACACCAACGACCCCTTTCACAGAGCAGGTAAACGCACACAGCTGTGGCTACATGGGCCAGAAACGCTCTCCACCCCAAGTCTGATAAGCCATAAGCAGTAGTGATGTTGTTGTGACCGCACCAGTCTGTCAGCAGATAAGGCTCAGTTTGCTTGAATGAGCTGACTTTGGTTCATACAGGTTGGAACAAATTGAGTCTTCTGGGTTTGAAAGACTAGAAAAAAAGCCTTTGTGTCTGAGGGTCCAGGCTGTCATTGTGGTGATTTTATAAATTATAAATTTGTTCAGTAATTTGTTCACAATTAAAAGCTGAAATGGCAACTGCAATAAAGCTGAGTTCAGACAGAAAGTGAAACAAATCTTTCCTCATGTTATTGCGTGAGTTTGATGCTGGACCACTGGTGCAGGTCACATTTATTCTGCCCTAACAGACAACGTACAGACTGCGCGGACGTTAGCTGTTAGCTAGCTAGAAGCTGTCACACCGACCACATGTATGGGAGTTTGCTTGTGTGTATGTTTTGTGTTCAGCGTAGCCTCTGACTGAACTCACAACACACTTGAAACTGCAACTCTGCCTGTAATGTCCCTCCACTTTCTCTGCTTTTTCTTCTCATGTCTGCACATTCATGAAGCTCCAGTGTGAGCGCAAAATCTGGACTGAGGTTGAAACATTTTCAACTTGTGTGAAGGCGTCTTTGACTCAGTTTGAGCCACTCAGGACAAATTCACCTCATGTTTTCTCTGAACTCGCATTAAGAGGGGCCCTGTGTCAAGATCTGGTTTCAAGACCTTCAACATCCAGTCGATTTTACGTTTACATGGTGGCCATCCTTTATAGTATAGTTATAATTTAATTAGAATATATTGTATTTAAAAAGGAAGTGTCCCCTGTTGCTCTCACTATCATTCAGAAATTGCTAGAAATGTTACTGTGAGAAGGTTATTTTGATAATTAGTGGGAGAGATTGGCTTCCTGAGACACTGCAGTAACAACCTGTACCTTCCCTCTTCTCTACCATTAGATCAGTATGCAGGTGATCACCAAGGCAACGGTAACCTCAACAACGGCAATAACAACTGGCAAGACTCCCTCTTCCTGTTTGTGGCCATCTTTTTCTTCTTCTGGCTGCTGAGCGTGTGATGGAGAGACTGGATGGGATGAATGAATGAATGGATGGACAAACGACACAAGAGTGGATCACTGGGAGGGAGGAGCGCAAAAAAAAAAAAAAAACTAACAAAAAAACAAACAAACAAACAAAACAAAAAAACAGATTTCACACACTTAACTTGAGCCACAGACACACACTCATGTTACATTTTCCAGCTGGTACTAAACTTGGGAGAGAGTGTAGCACCGTGTTTGATCCTAAAAGGAGAACCACAGGAATTTGGTTTTCTTCTCCTCCTGGAAATGACAGATTCACTTTAGGGATATACTCAGCCCCACCCACCTGCTTCTTTTATTGTTTATGCAAGAAACACACAAAAAATTGGTGTTGCGTGAATCCAAAAATAAATCATGTTAGCCCTCCATCTCTACACACACACACACACCTGTAGATATATGCACACCGAAAAATATAGGCGAACACTTAAGTTGAAGGGGTTCAGAGACAGTATTATGTGACCAGGGTGAACTATGGTAAGGATTTTTGTTTGTTCGTGTGTGTGAGTGTGTGTGTTTGTCGAGCGCTGCAGAAGAGAGATGGGTGGAGGAAAGTTCCAGGCAGTGACTAACTCTGTTTTGGTTTACATCCGTCTTCGAAGAGTCAGCAGTTTATTCCTTAAACAGAGAGAGGGAGGACGGTTGTGGAAAGTTGAGGGAGGGGTATGAAATAACACAATAGCTGCTGTAGCAGCTATTTCTTACTCTAAAAGGCCAAAGAGTAGTGGATCAGTCACACACGATGTCGGGGGTGAAAAATGTCATTAAATCGTTCCTGTTTACAGTTTCCTCGTGAAATGAACAAGTACTCCTAGATTTGCGACTTGCTCTTAAAAGCAGACTGACATATAGAAATAGCACAGATGGATGCATTTTTATATACATTTGTCTTAACAAAAACTGCCATTGCACTGTGAAGTCATTTGTAGATAGAGCTGTCCTAAAGAGAAGAAGAAGTGTGGTGCTGGTGTGGAACCACTTGTTGCTCCTTTTCCCACAAAGCTGTACTAACATGGACGGGTGCACCCATCAAGGGCCAGTGTAGGAGAATTTTGTATCATCATGAGCAACTTGAGAATAAAAACTAATCTGACACACACAGTTTGTTGATGACAGACCGAACTGTCATGGCAGAGAAGCTCTGGGTGATAAAGTAGCTTGATGGGATGCTACGCAATACATCATGACAGCGAGAGGAGTCAATGCAGCGTAACAAGTGGGGAGAATCCATTCAGTTAGCCATGGAGGTGAAAAGGTCAGCACACAGCTGATGAGCAACAGTTCAATGAACTGTGCCCCAGTATGATTATAAAATGTAAAACACACTTCTTTCTGTCAGTTGATTTTTTTTTTTTTTTTTTTTTCCTGACTAAATGTGTCTGTGTGTCTGAGTGAGTGTGTATACATTATATATTTGTATATATGAATATTGTAAATGCTGTTTTTACGTGTTTCTGACTGGATGACCAGCCATAGAGAGCGGGAGAGGACGAGAGGTGTGAGTAGGCCTCAAGATGCTTTTGTAAAGCAAGAAACCATCTGGTTCCTGGTTTCCATAACTCCTGTGTTTTATTTTTGAAAAGGCGTGCAGCCTGAGGTTAAAAACTACGCTCTCATAAGGTTAAATAAATGTCACAAGAGCAAAAAAGTCTGTCCTTCCCTGTCAATGTGATTTGATATGATTCAGCTCATTTTGCTCTCTTGTAACTGACACAGTGCACATTAAAGAGCTCCTGTTTGAGGCAGTGGAGCAATGTAAAACTACAGTAACATACATTCACCTAAATATGTGACAACAAAAGATCCAGATTCAGCTTTGTGTTTGATTTTCACCCGGAGATAGGAAAATGGTCCAGTTTTGGCTCTAAAGAGAACTCCACCGATTTAGCATCGCACTTCTGTTACGTTGTTGGACTCAATGGACGGTTTTAAAAAGTATCAGAATTGATACAGCAGAACACATTCTTCTTCCTTATTAAAACCTGGTGCCCAACATTACCCACAGTGCAACTCGTGGCTAGTTCGCTATTGGCCAATGTAGTCTCGAGCTGCTAGTCACAAGCAGCTGCTGCCTTCAGTTTCGTCACCAGAGGCAACTCAACAGATTTTTCACAGCTCCCTTTGGACAACTAAAGGCTTTATACCATTTTTTTTTCACATATGCAGCAGTACCAGCCCAAGACCTGTTAACAGACTTTGATTTGTAAAATCGGTGGAGTTTCCCTTTAACTTGTGTTAAACTGGATGGAATGAATCAGATCTGAGGCACTTCAACATTCACACCAGGGTCAGAGATGAAACTCAAGGTCCTCTGTAGGATGGACAGGATGGCTGTTGGGGCTCGTCATTTCTTGCATACCTGTCTGTCCAGCTACACTTTGTATTAAGAGGGTTATGTGATACTAGAACAAAGTGGTGGAGTCTTGACAGACTGAACCTGGAGACATTGTGCAAAACCAAATGGTGTAGGAGATTAAAACTTGATAAAATCATTGACTTGTTTTGTGTCATCATTATCTAGATTTTGATGTGAAAGGACTTGATTAGTCAATCTTGAGATTGACATGTGGGTATTCATTTAATAATTTAGGTCATTTTTGTAGAAGATTTGGGTTTTTGACTGGACAAAACAAGATATTTGAAGACCTCAGAAAGCTCAGAGGAACTTGGACATTTTTTCACTGTTGTCTGATGTTTTGTAGACGATTTATTGATTAATCAATAAAATGACCAGTTTCAATGATCATGAAAATAATCTTAGATGCAGCCCTCATGTTCAGTGGTGAAAGAAGTGCTCAGGACTTTTACTTAAATAGAAGTACAAAAGTATTAGCATCAAAATACACTTAAGTTGTAGAAGTACTTATGTAGAATGTCCAATTTCAGAATCCTTAATATATATTTGCCTCTGAATTGCAGTGAAGTAGAGGTGTAAAGTAGCAGAAAATGGAAATACATAAGTATGAATGCCTCAGAGCTGTACTTCAGTGTAGTGTTGGAGTAAATGTACTTTATTACTACTGCTAGTGGCTACAAATGGCTCGACAAGTTACCGTGTGTGTTTACATGTAACTCAACATGTCAACAGTCTTCTGCACTACAGCTTGAGCAGGTCTTAAGATGACATGACATTTAACTGTGGAGTCCTGGAAGACAAAAGAAATCAGTTGAACCTTTCTGTAGATAAATATATTATGGAGGGAGGATTTCACACAGTTGCTGGAATATGAATAATCAGGTTAGCTTGCCATAGACAGCTGCTTGGTGTGTCTCTTCAGTCTTCAGCTCAGATGTGCAATGCAAAGATTAGAAAATTAGGTCATGTGCACTCATATTTACAACTTTATTACACTTTTTCAAATATGATCGAAAATGTTTTATTTATAAAACAACTTTTTACAAATAGTAATTAAAATATATAAGTAAGAACTTTTTTTGTTTGCATCTGAAGACATTATATATTAAGAGTCCTCTATAAAAGATTGTCATTAAAGCCTAAATCTTAGTGGCATTCAAAGCTGTTTAATCGGATTATGTGATGCCTGATAAATCAGTTTAAAATGTCCACAACAGTGTGAACACCAGCTGTATGAACAGAAACAAATATTATTATCAAAATATTGTCAAGAATTATTTTCAGAAATATATAACATAGGATAGCTTGAAACATGAAAACATTCACCTGCCCAGTCTTTTCTTATGTACAACATATGCACATGCACAATAAAAAAAATAATAATTAAAAAGTGCAAAATCAGCAAATCAGGTCTGGTAAACATATTTAGAAGAAAACGGAGTGTTAAAATGGTAAAACAGAATTTTCAAATAGCAAAGATCCTGAAAATCTGTGACATAGTGTTAATGTGATTTGATGAGGTAAAGATCTTCAGTCCTCCCCTTTACCTTTTTTCTGTGCCTTGTTGGATTTATTGAGGATTTTCATGAGGTTTTTGGACATAAAGTACGGCTTCTGTAGAGATCCATCATTACGCTCCAAGTCCTCCACTGTGAAAATGAGAGCCACAGTGTGACAGGTCAAGTGATGAAACAGACCATGTGTGTTTGTTTTCTGAGTGTGTGTATTGTAGTATTATTTAAAATGATCCTTTACGCATCTTAGCTTGACACTGACATGTTAAAATGTTGTTAGCTAAAGGTTATTTACATTTTACAGTTTCTAAATATTTTCCTTCAAAAATATCAGTTTCCCATGTTGCAGTAGTTACGACTGCTTTACTGTAGATTAAATCTTATTTTACTTGATATTGCTGTGTAAATGAAATATGGTAAAATGTGAATTTCAGTAAACTGTACTCACAGAAGCAGAGGAAGAGTGTGTCTACACACATGTTGTACACACTGAAGAACCCATGAGCTATGAGGTAGCTACCAAACACCACAGTCTAAAAGAAAACAGAACAAGGTAAGACAAAGATATGATTCAGAAAAAATTTCAGTTCGTCCAATGAACCTAAATGGGATTTATGACTTACAATAATTGGCATCCAGTAGTAGTTAAGTGTTTCAAAGCGGAAGGTGTTGCCTGGTAGCGGAATTCGTCCAGAGAAAAAGAAGAAGGACAATACACCTGGAAAAAAAGATTGAAATTACAGTGTCTCTTATTTCCTGATGCATTACAGTAAACACTAACTGGGCTTCACACATCTTGTTCTATTGTATTCAAATTATTAATATTTGTAATTATTAGAGTTCTCACTCTTACACCTGTGGCATTTAAAACATGATGAACTGGGGGCTGCAAACACAGTGTAAACATGATCAACGAATTCAGGCTAGTGGCTCTGTGAGGTTGTACATAGACACAGCAGGTCTTTGAGCTAAATGCAGGTATATTGTTTACAATGATCACTATCCTAGTTTAGCTTCTTAGCATGCTAACATTTGGTAATTAGCAGTAAACACAAAGTACAGCTGAGGCTCATGGGAATGTGATTTGGTTTGCAGGTATCTGGTCATAAACCATACCAAAGCAAATACTGGACAAATGAAAATTTAAAAAATGATGATGATGGCGCTAGATGAAAGGTTAAGGCGTCAACAAAGTCAGTAGGATTCATCCTCTAGGGT